ACCACCGCGACACGTGGAACTTGACGCTGCACAACGACGAAGAAAAGGTGGCGGCGAATTACGTCCCGATCACGATTGCCACGTACCTCCGCGACGCGTCGACACAATTCAATGTGGTCACGGATCGCGCGCAGGGGGTAGCAAGCCTGAACGATGGTGCGGGCTTGGAGTCGACGGCACGATGCATAACGTGTGTGGATTCGAGTAGGCTCGGTTGAGATCATGGTCCATCGCCGTCTGCTTCAAGACGACAACAAAGGTGTCGACGAGCACTTGAACGAAACAGAAACCGTACGAGTGCCTCGAGATCGACATCTGCTTGGCTGACGCACCCTGTAGCTGTCGCTGGCCAACAACCAACAACTCACACAAGGCCTGACAGTCCGTGGGTCGTTTGCGTTGAGCGTTGGGCCGTTGGATGCAGCCATGGCGCAGTTGCGTGCCGAAATGAGTCGGCGGTATTTGAACCCGTTGGTCGCGCTGACAGCGCACAACACGTCGCTGACGCCGCCCACGACGGCGTGGACGCCGCGGTTGCCATTCAACGTCGGTTTGATTTCGTTGGAAGTTGTCGATGCGCACACGATTCGTTTGCGCCTGACGCATTTGTTTGCGATCCGCGAGCACCCGGTACGTCGATGTGCACAGTTTTTCCCGTGCGATGTGTCTGCATAGGTGTGGTCTCACGACGCGACTGTCGACTTGACCGTGTTGCTCGGGTCCCCATGGTCGACGGCACACCACTTGCGTGTGACGGAATTGAGTTTGTCTGGCAACCGGGTGCTGCGATCGATCCCGCGCACGACCGTGACGCTCAAGGCGATGCACGTGCGGGCTTTTGAGATCACGACCATGCAAGGTCCCGCGGCCAGCATCTTTGACCCGACAGTGACCAACTTGGCCGATGGCGGCGGCGACAACGAGGCTTCGTTGGACTTTTAACTGCTCGGACGAACGCCGTCGCTCTGGGAGACTCGGTAGCAGTTGCATGCGTCAAATCAATCTACATCGTCAGGAAAGCATGCACGTGAGATGCTCAAGATGGATCGGTGTCGAGATGTGTGCTCGGTCGAAAAGGGACACCGTCGTGAAATGTGTCCGAGAAGTGCCTCCCTTTTCGAGCGATTCGTACAATGTTGGAGCATGGGGCGGCAATCGTTTGGCGCAAACTCGGCTTGCCCGTCACCGTTTGTGGAGTCGAACCCACCTTTCCCCACCATGCGACAACATGCCAAGCAGCTAATATGTTCGCGCCAGGGCGACGTGGTCTCGGCCTGCGATGCTTGGTCGCTCTAGCATCTCGTGTGCTTGGTGTAGCCACGGTCCGGCAGCGGTCGCCGCCGCTCCGCCGCACGCGCTACGTGCATTCAATTCAAGTTGGACGCGACAGGACTGCCGTCGTGTTTTAAAACCCCGGCAACGCCGAGCCGTCCACCATCGCTCCAACGGTCGCGATGTCGGCTACGCGAGCTTCGAATACTTTGGACGCATGGCGGTGGTGGCCGTCGCATACTTCGAACGCCCGCACTTGCATCGCGTCCAGGACAACGGCCGATGCCGCGACGTCTTGAATCACGCGATTGTGCGTCAAGCTGATTTCGCTAACGTGAAACGTGGCAAAGTGGCCATTCAGGAGCTTGGCAAAGTCCACCGTTGCTGGCGTCGACCACACCTAACGAATGCGTTGTGAAGGCACAGGTACGTTTGCTGGCACGAGAACCAAGCCAGTTGTCTCGGTGGGCGGCTCAAACCACCATCCTTGACGGCACCTCGCTGTCCCCGACGTACCGTGTGTTCGTGGATAGCAAACAAATGAGTGAGACGAAGTCGGAGGCAGCGCGAGCTCTTGACTTCGAGCGACGTGAGCCCAACGTTGGGCGGAAGGCGGGCCGCCCAAGTAGAACGTGGTGGTGGCGCCAGCGATTCGTTGTACGCTGTCAGCGCCACGAGAGGCGCGAGGTACCGCTGGTGCATGTCTGTTCGCAGAATTTCCACGGCCGCGTCGAGAGGGCCGACGCTGATGGCGACGGTCCCACGCACGGTCAACCCTTGCGTTTGCTTGTTGCCGTTCAAGTCGAGCTACGGCCCGCGTTCAAATCGCGCACGCTCTGTTTCAAGAGATGCAGAAATCGACTGCCCGATATGCACCCACCGTTTCCGTTTCATTCAGGCATTCGTTCACGCCCTTGTGGTCGTCTTGAAGCAACCGGCGGTGGACCATGACCTCCAACGAGCCTGCGTCGACAAAAAACATCCACAACTCAGTCCATGGCCAGCACACAACACAACGTGATCTGTCTCGATCGATATCACAAACGCACCGTCTTTCAACGACGACGCGCCGTGCGCGCGATCCGTGACCACATTGAATTGCGTCGACGCGTCGCGGAGGTACGTGGCAATCGTGATCGGGACGTAATTCGCCGCCACCTTTTCTTCGTCGTTGTGCAGCGTCAAGTTCCACGTGTCGCGGTGGTTGCGCACTCGCTTGACAAACTCGAGGCCGTTCGAGTCGGTGAACCACGTTTTCTGTTTACAAAAAGTCCCATGACCATCGCAACGAGCTCGCCGCGACCGTACCTCCGACTGGACGCTCGTGTCGAAGCGCAAAATCACTTCTTTGCCTTGGCCATCGTCAATCGGAATCGGCCCCACCTACACACAATTCCCGTGAAAAATAAACGCTGTGTTGCTTCGACGGAAACTTGGACATCCATATCGCGCGGTCTCGGCCGCCATCGACTCGAACCGCACACAAATTGCGACCCTCCAACAACACGCATACCGTCCATTCGATCTCCACCGACATGGCAAACCGAGCCAGCTTGTACTCCAACGTGCCCCACGTGCCAAATCGAAACACACACGACGCGACGACCGCGCTCGAGTGGGTGTGGCAGTCAAACGACGTCACTGGAGGCACCGCATGGACGGCCGACGTGTTGGGGTGGAGGACGTACGCGCCAGACGAAAACGACACGTCCGATTTGGCAAATGCTTGGTAGTACAGCAGCGCCGACGAGACGGCGAGTTTGGTCTTGGTGCGTTTGTTGGTCAGTGATACGAGCGACCCTGTCTCGGTGTTGATTTCCACAGCGACAAACTCGTTCGAGGTTGTCACGATAGACGGCGCCGACGACGTGGTCCATGCACGGGCTCGAGCGCGCGGTGTCGATGCGCTGCCAGAGACGACGTGGTACACCAGCCAGCTCAGAGGCGGCACCGTGGCTTCGACCACAAGCGAGTTTGGCGCGGCGTGGGCGAGGGCGGCCTTGCTATACACCGCCACAAACGGCACGACCGCGCTCGGGACGGCCGTCCCATTGCTCAACGTAACCACCGCGTGGGTGGCGCGCACCGGGAGCGACACAGTGTACGTGTGCACGCTGGTCAAGTGGTTGTAAACAATAAACGAAAACGAGTCGCCCGACGTCGTGCGATTGCACACACTCACGTTGGCCAGAAAACACAACTCGACTGGCGCTTGCAACAAATGCTCGAGCTGCGCCGTCGCCGATGCAACGCCTTCCGCCAAACGCAGCGCGTAGTCTTCTGCCACGAGCTGCTTTTCCGTGCCGCTGATCCCATCGTGATGGAGCGATAGGCCGACCGTCGCCGCCAAATGGTGGACCTAGACATTCTTAGCCACTGGACAGGTAGCTCAGTGGACGGCACGCACCGACGTGTGGCTGACGCGGGCCCACACTTCCAAATGCCGGACAAACTGTAGGAGCCCGTTCGCAGTGCGCACGTACTTCTTCAACGCGGGACGGCTAGAAAAATACCCCGACCTACACGCAGTTACAACGGACGTCATGGGCGGCGTCATGGACAACGAGGGATGGCGCACAACGCGTTGCACTCCCTCGGCAGCATTGTGGGCGTACCAATACCCAAACGGCTCGTTCGCGTACGGAAAAAAGTCGTCCGTCTTGATGGTCCACTGAATCGATTTGTCCTGGAGCTTCAAGTCGGTGTACTTGCCCAGCGTCGAGTACACGATATTGATCTGGCCTTCCTGGTTGCCGTAATGGATGAGCTTGTCCATGTTCTTGAACCACTTGACTGCGTTCTGGTATTCCATGTCCATTCCCATGGGCCAGAAAATATGATTTCCTACATCGATCCACGACGCTCAATCGGCAGCGCGATTTCGATGCAGAGCACACGCAGTTTGAAAGTTCGCCATCCCCCCCATCCACTGGATGCTGTAGCCAAGAACACATCCTGCACGTGCCCGTGCAAAGAAGAAAGCTTTTCATTCGACGGCGGGACGGTACCTTTCGTGTGGCGGGCGCGCTCCAAGCTCACTTGAACAAATCGCTTGACCTTGTTGCAAACGTTGTTGTCGTGCAGGTACGGGTCGTCCTTGATCGGCTCTTGATCTCCAAACGAGAACCCATCCGGCGCGCCGTACCCATCTTGAATCATACCTGCACACCATGCAAGGAACAACCACGGCTTAGCCCTTGGTCGAGGTCGCCAACGTGGTTTATATCGCATGCACGCATGCCGATGATGTACCTGTAAAGACAGACTCGTTGCGAGAGGCGGATGCCTTCCACATGAACTCTACGCAACAACAAAAAAGGCACCGAAAACGTTGCGGGGGTTTGCTGACAAAACGAGATAGAAATGGCTGTACCAAGATCCTGGTTGTTTTTGCGGTGATCGTAATCTTGGTAATCCATCCGTGCAAAGTACAACGCGTCAAACCCGATGCCGGCCGACAAGAGCGACCCTTGCGTGGCCGAGTGGCCAAACGGGTCGATCTGCCATCCGATGCGTGGAATAATGCTACGGCATTCAAACGATGAACGAGATGTGAGATTGCACACGCGCCAACGCACCCGAACTCGTCCAAGAGAAACTTGTGCCCGAAAGCTGTTTGATCGAGCATCGTCGTGTAATGCGGCGTTGCTTCGTCGTGCATGACCCATCCCCCGTTGGCAGACAAATCCAATTGCCCTTTCTTGACAAGTTGTTTGACAAGTTGTTTGGTTTCCTTCGTTTGCTCGCGCCACCTACAAATGGGCGTGGGTTGAGGACTTGGTTGTACCAAAGGGGTCGACGTGTAGCCGTACCATCGCTGGAAAAATGCTTGCTCGACGTACATAAAGTGCCGGTTCGGGTCCTTTTGCAACTCGGTCACGACTGTATCCAAGATGTAGTCGACTTCTTGCGTGAAGTACTGATCTACCGTGAGCAACCAGCCGGGGTCATCGTGGGTGTGCGGAATCAAGTGGACATTGAGCTTGTCCTTGGAGATGGTGGGGGTCGTGTTGTAGTGCCGGTCGGTGGGGAAGTCGGGCGTCCAGTGACCGCACGATTGCAACGAAATGCTCTGCACGAACGTCAGCGTCGTGGACGCGAACGCCGCTGCGATCGCCCACACATGCACCATGATGGCTCCCTGTCAAAGATCTTTTCTGAGGGGAAAAGTACATTTTAATTCCGTTCATAGCCGCGGCATACAAAAATCGAGTGAACGTTTTTAAAATGTCAGGTAGACGAACTGCCAGCATCCAGAGTGTCGGAAACGCCGGATTTTAATATTTGGATATATCCGATTTTGAAAAATTCGACTCTCGAATTTTTCGATATTGCTAATTGTGAAACTGCAATCCCTCCCAACCGGGCACTTCAATTTGTGGGCACTGCAATGGTGTTGGGCATTGTACACTACTTCAGGCGGTTGGTGTACTCTATAGATATGAAGTTTAAACGAAAATGAACATGCAGAGGATCGTTCGAGCAGTTTACATCAGGGGAGGTTTCATGCACAACAATCCAAATATCACCATGTCAAAATGAGAGAAGCGGTCAGAGCCATGATATTTTCGTCCTCGTTTTTGCAATAATTTCGCCGAAATGAACAAGTCGACGAATTCGCGTAAAATCACAATGACAATTCTGCCTCTGGCGGGCACAACCTCGGCGCCTCGCACTCTGTGCCAACTGCATTCCAAGAAAGCCTCGATTGGGCTCGTTGTACAGCTCGAGATGACTGGCGTTCGACTGGCTCGCCTGTGCTATGGAGGGTGTGATTGGTGTACACTTGGACGATTCGAGCTGATCGTTCCCGTGCACTCTGTATTACGAGCAAATTCCCGCCTTCGGAACCAACAATTGCATGTGAAATGCGCACAGCCAGCAAACAATTCGTCGAAGAATCACATGTGCCGCATATGCGTGCCAGTGGAGCTTCACGGGACACCACGGGCGAAAGCCAAAAACACGCGAAATTTTCATACAGAAATTCCGACATACCCGCTACGTATCGTCGCCAATGACGAAGAAATCGGGCCAGAACAAGCGCCGCAGAGTTTTGCCACAAGGGTAGCCATGGTGACGACAGCAAACAGGGCTGCGTCCTGTCCACTGTCGAGCACTGTTGGTAAAAACACGGCGTTCCAGGCAGAATGCCTCCCTCGGTTTTGTCGACGCACGGTCGATCGTTAGCACGTGGGTTGAACAAGCTTCGTTCGGAGCGCACATTTAGTCGATACAATGCGTTGGGCGAGTCCGTGGGGATGCCAAGGATAACTCGATCGCCAATTTTGACGCTGCCTTTTCAGGTGATGATATGGAGTGGCAACTCTTGTGGTGAAGCACAAGCTACAGTCAGAGGTACCACAGACGAGATGGGATGCTTTGGCGAACGTTGTCCTCCTGGGGCTTTGTTTTGGCGTCGAGAAATATGTGCCAAAACGTCCACGTGCGATTTCAAGTCAAAGAGCAGAGGTCCATTCAAGACGATACAAACTTAACTTCCAGGTGCTGGATGTAGCGCTAGGCTAATTTTCGTGACGACAAGGGGGTGTGCATACAACGGTCGCATTTTCCATTGGAAGGATTTCAATGGCCAGGATCGATGGGTCCACTCGTTTTCGAGGCCGCTGACTTGCTATGGCCTCGCGCGATACCGTTGCTCGAGCCACTGCACGATGCGGAAGTGGCCATTTTGCCGTGCGCCTTCCATGGCTTCGTCGGTACAGCCCAAGACCAGCTTGGTGTCGTGCAGCCACACGACCATGTTCAAATGTCCATTGCGAGCCGCCAAGGTGAGCGCGTTGGTCGTGCACCCGGCGGTCGATTTCGAAAACAAGAGCTGGGCCATTTCGACGTGGCCATGTTCGGCTGCCAGGTCCATCGTTTCTGGAGATACGTGGCATAAATGGTCGAGCAGAAATGTAGCTGCAGCAAAGTGGTTGCCTGCCACAGCCATGTCGATCGCCGATGCAGTGCAGCCTACGCCGAATCTCTCGTGCAGGTGCTGTGCCATGGCCCAATGGCCTTGCCCGGATGCCCCATCGATGGCACCGTCCGTCCCAGTTGCGCCAAACGTTGTCGCGAGCCAATCCACGAATGCCACGTGATTGTTCGTCGCTGCAATGTCCAACACCTTGTTCACATGGACGGCGGAGAAACCATTTGCGTAAAGCAGCAGGTACTCGACAATGGCAAGGTGGCCCATGGTGACGGCGCCGACTAGGGTTTCTGAACCAACGTTTGAGAGGTCATAGTGGTGGAGGTATTGCACAACGCCAAGATGGCCATGCTTGGCCGCCTCGGTGATCGTGTTGGACGGTGATGTGGTCGCCGACGAATTGGTCAGTGTTTCCATGACCTTGACACACCCTTCGTTGCGGTGCGTGTGCAGGAATCGAACGATGTAGAAATGACCGTTGACAGCTGCGTTGTGCATGGCCATTTTCGTGGCAGGTTTTCGGTGCGAGTGAAGCCACTTGACGACAGCAAAATGCCCATGCGCAGCTGCGAGATCCATGGCCACGTGGGTGCACGTTTGTGCTCTATGGTGCAAGTATTCCAGGATGTGCACGTGACCTGCGGCAGCAGCTTTGTCCATGGCATCTTTATGCCATCTCGTGCCCACTTGTTCATGCAGAAATTGCAACATGTCAAGGTGTCCGCTGGCGGCCGCGGTAAGAGTCGCCGCTTCCGACGCGCCTTCTTGGCGATGCGTCTTCAGGAACATTATCATGGCCATGTTTCCGAAGGAAGCAGCGCAATCCATCGCTTCCGTGGTGCATCCATTGTGTCCGAGGTGGTGAAGCTTCTGGAGAATGTCCAAGTGGTTGCGACTGGCTGCCACGTCCAGCAACCGACCCCCGTACGATCGGATGTTGATGTTGTTCACAACAAAGTAGTCAATCACGTCGGGCACGTTGTTCCAAGTGGCAAAAAGCAGCATCATGCCCTTAATCCGCGGGAGGTGGCGAAACAGGTCGGCCAGACGAGTTACACCCCACTTGGACCACCACCGCTGGATTATCGAGGTCGTCATGGCAAAATCTTTCGACTTGGGCGTGTAAACTCGGTACAGGAGTCGCACAAGCAGCAGCATGTACGCTGGGATGCCGCGCTGATACAACACGATCTGCTTGAACAAGTCTTCTGAGAGCCGCCACTTGTTCATCATGGTCGCCGAAGAATTTCTTTCGCGGATTGTGGATCGGCCACATGTCGAGTTTATATGATCGCCTGTGCCGTTCATAATATGTATGTATACCTTCGACCAATGTCTCACTGTGCTCATCACGCATCTCTCTGATGACACAAATTCCAATCCATCTCTTCACGACAGCACTTGCTTGGCTTCAAGCATTACAGGGGCGGTCGCTTGCTCTGCATGACATCGATTTCTGCCCAACGTCATGTGGTGTGCACATCGAACGATGACCAGATATTCCCACAAATGCAATATTTTGAGCGATACAAAGCCGCCATATGTGCCGTGTTTGTACGAGCGCTCGTTCGAACGACCCACTCGTTTTTCCTGGCTGTCGTGGCTGTGCACGGATGGATACATCGTCGGGCATACATGGGCCCGTTCTGAGTGCGCTTGTTCGCGCCGGCTGCCATCGTTCGATTCCTGCCCTCGAAAACAAGACTCGATGAAGCCGAAGATCGTGTACGGCTGGCGGGAACCGGCGCCACTAGCCCCATGCTGCCTGCCATGCCCCATCCCCCCCTGCAATTCTGTGCGACATTCTCCACGACGTATATTCAATCTGCCTTGTCAAGGGCACAGCAGATGAAAGCAACAGTGTCGATGAGGGAACGTGGCAGGTGCTGCTTATCGACTCTCCCTTGCTTGCAATTTCGAATAACTTGCCAATTTCTCTCGTCATTTTCACAAAATTTGACACTCGATCGAGATTTAGCACAATTTGCCAATATTTCCCCAAATATTTACAAAACATGGTAAAAACCCAAATTTGGATTGTCGACCCCAGCAGTGTGTCTGGTCGGTGCACGAAATCCTCACTTTCGACAGCATGGCCGACGCCTTGGCGACGACAGGTGCGCACTTGCTGGTTTGCTTCGCCTGACCCTTGGCCTGTACGTTTATCTACGCAGGATCGAGTCTGCCACCTGCATTCGATCCTGCGCCCACCGTCACGATTGTCTTGTCGACGTACAACGAACGCGACCCGCTCATCAAACCAGCGGCGCCAGATCTGTCTCTTCTAGCAACCTCCAAGGCGGAGTACGTGGCGATCGCAGGCTTTCGCGCGTCGGCGGTGTGGCAAGCTGGCTTTGTACTATTGTGTGTGGTCACTGGGGGAGTGTTGTGGATTATGACGACGTGGTGGCCACAAATTTACACGTACCTCGCTCGCGTGCGTGTGAGGTCGTTGGGTGTCGCCGACATCGTTCTGGTCCGAGACAGCCATGGCTTGATGCACGAATGTGCTGTTGTCCACTCGGAAGGCGGCATGGTGCGCACGTTTGAATGGAAGCACCAACGGTATCTCTATATCCAGCAGTCCGGCTCGTTTGAGCGAGGTTCGTGCATGCTTGCATGGCGCCGCCACGTCATGCTTCCCCTTGTAGTCCCTGCCATGTTGCTCGATTCGCTGGAATCTGTGACTCGATCTCTCCAGACTGGTCTCGCTAGCTCGGTGGTAGCGGACCGCACGGCATTTTACGGCCCCAACACGATGGAACTCAAGACTCCTTCCCTCATAAGGTCCACTTGCCCTCGTCTCTTGATCGTGCTCCACTTGGTTTTGCCTTCGCTACATCGACTACACCCACCACGTCGACGTCCGTTCGACGAGGGGATTTCTCATTCGGATTTGTGACGACAGGCTCCTCGTCGAAAAGGTCGTGCATCCATTTTACCTGTTCCAACTCATTTCAGTCGCGCTGTGGCTGGAAGAAGCATACACCACGTATGCGCTGGCGATCCTTGCCATGTCGATATCGAGCATTGCGTACGAAGTGCACTCGCAAGTCACAAACGCGAGCCAAATGCAGGCGCTGGTGGCATGCGCCATCCAAGTGCAGGTCGGTTGCCGTTGGCAAGACAATGTTTCGATGCATGTTCAAAAAAACCAACTCATGTGTGATGGCGTGGTGGCGATTTCCACGAACAGGTCAAGCGAGATGGTGGCGTCCAGTCCGTGCCGGCGTCGGCGCTCGTGCTTGGAGGTGTGTGTGGTGCTGTGCCATGCTGCCCACCGCACTGACTTCCTTTGTGCATTGCTTGACCAAGACTTTGTCCTGGTCCAAGAACAGGTCGTTGCGGCAGACATGGTCATCGTCGTCGGCGAATGCATGGCGGACGAATCGTCCTTGACTGGAGAAGGTATGCCTGTCCTTGCGTGTGTCATCATCAAGAGGACGGCGGATTCCGAGCTCACTGAAACGGCGTCGTCCCGACTAGCGATCCCAGTGTCGAAGCAACCATCGCACGACGACCCGACAAAATCCGTGCTCGAATGCCACAAGAGCTCCGTCCTGTGTGCAGGGTCGACTGTAGTCCGCGTCAAAGGTATCGGAGTGCCTTTTCATATGAGATTTGGTGCCCTCGAACGCCTCGATTTGTGGCTGGCGTCGATCTCGACTGCTTTCATCAAGGAATCGGCGCGAGTTTGCAATGGCTTCGGTTCAAGAGGTGACCACGGGGTGGGGTGGGTGTGTAGGCGATAGCGTATGGGCAGTCGTCACCCGCGTCGGGTTTTCCACGACAAAGGGGGACTTGCTTCGCCAGATTTTGTACCCCGACGACGTGCCATTTCAAATGGTCACCGACAGCTACCGCTACCTCCTCGCGCTGTCGATCGTGGCGGGACTGACCAGTCTCCAGCGCATCTACGACGCGTACGCCTGCCCGTCGTCGTTCGCGCCTCCGCTCGACATGGCTGACGACGTGTGGCGTGCATAGCATCCAAGCCCACTCGACATTGGGCGACTTGGTCATTTCGGTCTTCGACTTGATATCGACAACCATCCCAGCGGCGCTCCCCATGATCTTGACGGTCGGCGTTGGGTTTTCGCTCACGCGGCTGCAACAAGCGCGGCTGTGCTGCATCGATGCGCAAAAAATCAATGTCGCCGGCCACATCAATTGCTTTTGCTTCGACAAGGTACGTTTGCTTCTCGGTCGACTCGAACGCGACGTACATGCTGCTGTGTGCCTTGACAGCGTTGGAACAAAAAATCCATTCAACGTTGGGTCGTGGTGGCTAGACTGGCACCCTCACGAGCGATCACCTGGACTTTGAAGGCGTCGACATGTGCGATGGATCGCCACTCACAACCAAGCCCACCTCGCGCGATGTAGAGTATGGTCCGTTGTACACCTGCTCCCTCCTCTATATTCCCCTTTTCGAGAGCGCAATCTTGTTGTGTCTTGGAGGCAGGGCGGCGTGTCGTGTGCATGCAGAGAGGGCAATGTATGGCTGTGCTTCACACGGCCCGCTTGCCTGTCGTAGCTCTGGCTTCCTGCCATGGTCTGAGTGTGGACGATCAAGGCGTTGTCGCGGGGTATTCGTTGGAGCGCGATATGTTTGCTGCCACCGAGTACACGCTGTCCGCGACGACGAACGAAGTGCAGTCCCCGAATGGCGGCCACGTCTCGCTCCGCTACGACCGTCGGTATCCGTTTGACGCGGCGCTGCAGCGCTCTTCGGTCGTGGTCCAAGCGTCCAACGAGCCGCACTTTCGTCGGATATACGTCAAGGGATCGCCCGAAGCCATCGCCGACGTAAGACAACGGGATGGACCGAGCGACGACGCGGTCGACGAGTGGCTGGTCGTCTTGGTGCCCACCATGCATGCCATGCCACCTTGAACGGTCACGACGAGGATGTGTGTTCTTGTGTAGATTTGCACCGGCATCCCCTCTGACTTTTATGCGCGAGTCCATCGGTACGCATCCGAGGGATTGTACTGCGTCGCGCTGGCCATGAAGAAAATGGATGGATATGAGCCAGCCACGTCGCGGGCCACGGTCGAGAGCGACGTCACGTTTTTGGGCTTTTTGCTGTTTTTGGTACGAACGGTTCTCTTGCAACGCGTCATGCACTCACTGTTGAATCGATGGACGATGCCGATCGAGTCTCTTCTCGACGTGGTTGCGGGTCAACTTGTGTGGCTGCCCTGGCGTCGTTCGTGACGGATTCATTCGTGTTGGCCATAGAACCCCATCAAGGCCGCGTCACGTGGGGTGATCGAAACGTTGGAACGGGCCAACATCGATGTCCGCATCATCACAGGCGACAATGCGCTAACCGCGATGCACGGTATGTGAGTCGGTAAAAGCTGTGGCCGCCACTGGCATGTGATTATGCGAGCGAGAGTAGTGGCCCGGGAACTCAACATGCACCTGACGACGTCGATGCTGTACTTGGATGTGTCGCCATCCGATGGCTCGATCATGTACCAACTGTACCCCGTACGCGTCGATCCCACAGACGACCAGCTCATTTCCCTGGCGCAGACGTCGACGACGTGGCTCGCTCTCGGCGACCTCGACACGTTGTTGGATTTGGACTTTGACTTGACGGTACCGCGAATCTCTCTTTTGCCCATGGACTGGATTGCATCCAGTAGATCACGGGCGCGGCGTTGGATGTGGTCATCGCGTCGTCGCTGCCGCCGCTTCTCGTGTCGCGGCTCGTCCAAAAGGCGAAAATCTTTGCCAGAACCAAGCCACACACGAAAACGTGGATCGTTGGGCGGCTCATGGATGCTGGGTCCGTCCATCGATCTCGTCGTCATCGACTGCAACTCGTTCTGGCATTCTCAACGCCGTGGCGTAGGCTGTTTGTGGGCATGACAGGCGACGGCACCAACGATTGTGGTGCACTGAAAGCTGCGCACGTTGGCCTTGCGCTGTCCGATGCCGAAGCTTCCATCGGTATGTTCTTGAGTTCGGCCGCACAAATTGGTCTTGGTGTTGTGCGTCGTCGGGTCGAGGTCAGGTCGGCTGTTGTAGTGGCGCCGTTTACCAGTCGTGGCAAGGCGATCGAAGACGTCGTGGCGCTGCTTCGAGAAGGTCGATGCGCGCTCACGACGTCGCTGCTCTCGTTCAAGTTCATGGTCATGTACCCGATCATCGAGACGGCCATGGTCGCATACCTCAACCACATGCAAGCCTCGTTTTCAAACAATCAGGTGCGGTGCGTCATTCGTTAAACGTCGTCCAGCCATCGAGGAAGCACTGACGCACTGGGCAGTACTTGTTTGGCGACATGTTTGTCGTGCTGGGCATGTCTGTGCTGATGCTGCAAACTCCCCCTGCCGCCAACCTCACCAAGGCCAGGCCTCCAACCTCTCTCTTTGTAAGATCTTGCCCACTGTCGACCATGCAAGCGAGCTCCCGCCGTGCCGCTTGGTCCTGTGTACATGTAGTCGCCTACGATTGTTTGGAGCGTTGCGAGCCAGTCGGTGGTGTTTGCGCTGTATTTTTCGGCAACGCTGGCGGTGGCGCAGCGCCAGCCGTGGTTTTGTGCCCTGCCCGACGTTGCCGCCGGCCGCGCGCATTGCTACCCGTATCGTCCCAATGAATCCGGCGACATGACCACGCATGCGTTTGAAGTCTCGATCGTGTGGCTGCTGGGTACGCCTCCCCTTGGCTCGGTTTCCAAGAAATACACATGCCTAGGGCACTGGCATTACGTGGTGCTGGCCATTGCGTTCAACTTGAACGATCCGTTCCGCGAGCCGGCATGGCACAACCGCGCGTTCGTGTTGTACACTGCGGCCGTGGGCGCAATCTTGCTTGGCCTGGTCTTGTGGCCAGGTACGACCGCAAGTTGCTCGGACATCCATGAGCCATCTCGCGTAGGCAATGCCATGGCCGTCGCCTGGCTCGACTTGACGACGCCCCTGCCCCTGTCGTTTTGTTTCGAAATGGCGGCATCTTGTGCGCTGGCGCTCGTCACGGCCGTCGGCGTCGAAATGGCCGTGCGCATCACCTTTGCACAGTCCTAATGAACGACATCGCGACGACGCACCGAGAGAACTCTGGTAGCGAACCACGACGCAAGCCCAAGTGGCATGACGTGCAGCATTGACAATGAAACAAACGTAGGGGTGTGCGCGCGTCCGTGTCCGCCGTTCCAACCGCCAGTGGTCATCCACGGCCCACAGTGCGCTCGCACACCTTTGTCGACGTTGTGAAGCGAGTGGCAGCCTGCCCAACGTAACAATGTGTTCATCGTGTGCGAGTTCAAAAGCCGTTGGTCGCACAGTCCTGTCGCGCGACGCTGCAGCGGGAAATCGATTCGTGGGACGTCCTCCTCCTCCCCTTGCATGTTGCTCGATGACCCCCGCCGACGATGGCCAGCGTTTGGTTGTGCATGCCGACAACCATAACACGCGGGGGTAGTGCGGGTGGTGGAGGGGTTGCCTGACGGATCCAGGACGCTGTGCTACCACTAGCAAGAGATCCGCAGTGTACATGCACGGCCTCGAGCAAATCCTCGCGTCGCTCCAAGGCAGCTTCATCGATCATCATCCATACGAACGTCGTCGCTCGGACGTCTTGTTGTCCTGGAACGATGTTTAAAAACGCGCTACAATCGTGACCGCTGTGAGCAAGAAGCCGTTCACCTCTCACGTTGCGACTCGACCGAGATTGCCCCAGACACGGTCGTCGCATGGCCAGGTACTGGGGCGCCACGACTTTGTTTCGACGGGGGTACGCCTCGTGCCCGTCGACGGGTGAGCAGGGGACGGACTCGCGCCACACACGTACCACAACACATCGCACGTGCTAGTTGTGTGGCGTCGATGGTCGTGGCATGGAACGCGCCGTTCGATGGTGCTCGTGGCAGTGTCGTTTCCACACGGCAAGCACATTCGTTGCATGCTCCCTACAGCAGGGCGGGCAGACGAGCCCAAGTACAACACGGCAAACGGGACTCTCATATCCCCCTTGCCATCGAGTTGCCGACGCGGCGCCATGTCGACCGTATATGTGGAATCGATGCCGCTGACATCGCGACGGCGACCATCTCGCCGCACCGGACGCCCCGCCGAGCGTTCACGGCTGCATGGACATTCCGGCGATCGCGCGGACAGCGGGATCGTATCGAGCACGACCGCGAGCGCTACGGGTGCATATGCATGGTAGAGGCACGTCGGGAGCGCTCGTTCCCCGTTTGGTTTGCGCATGGGAACCGCACGTCCAGGCGGGGTCCCATGCCGCGAAATCCACCCGATCGATCGACGCATACTTGTCTCCGTTGTCGTTCGCATTGGGTCGACAGCTTGTGCCTCGATCGGACGTCGACCTGCGGCACCTTACTCACGTCCCCACGACCGTGCAACGGAATCGTTCACGACTGGAGCAGTGTCTCGGAGCTTCCATTTGGTGGGTCGAGACCAACGACAGGACACAATTGCGTTGTCACGGTCGAACGGCCTGACGCGGTCGACAACCCCTGGAGAGAGTTAGCTGTGTCAAAGTCGATGCTGCCGTGGCATTTGACGGCTCGAACCAGCTCATGGACGAACGGGATGGCGGCGCGCTTTGCCTTCACGACGACGATGTGCCGCCATCAATTCCCCACTCCAACGAAACCATGCACAACGTCATCATCGTGCGACGCTGTAAACACGTGCAGGACCAACCGATCCAACAGATCCGTCTTGGCCCAGCCACTCGACACACAGGCAAACGCAGGTCAGATGGAGCAAGCTCTGTTTGCACACACAAAACGCCGGCCTTTCGATTTGCATCACTTGATGGAGGGGCGACGACGACGTTGGCAGGTCGATCTACAGCTTGGAAAGGCTCGGAAACTCGGCGACGAGAGCAGCTACGTCCATCGATTGGGGGCCAGCAAGAGGGAGTTTTCGGAACGACGCCAAGTGCGCTGCCAGGTCCTCCAACGCAGAGCCCTGGAAGGACACCGTCAAAGCAAGCGATGGCACGCCGTGACAACGCACCGATCGATAGGTATCTGTTAGGCGAATCTACACCACAGCACTCGAATGACCACGATGACGTTGGGACGCGCACGTACGACAGACATCTTGTGCTGGAGCGGGCCCTTGGTCTCGACACCCTCTTCGACCACTCCCCACGTCGTGAGGATCGTCACTGCATTCGACAGCGTTTCCATCGAGCACGACTCGTAGAACGCGATGATTCGATCGTGGTACATCTAATTTCCTCGCGACGTGTGAGCTGCTCCACGTGCGACAATGGCTGCGTCGAGCACGATCACGTACTGTTTCAGCGAGCCATTGCATGCGCTTGACGAGTGCCTTGGGCGAGATGCGTTCGCCGCCCTTCATCGCGACCAAACTCGTGAGAGCGACCCAATAACTGTCAATGAACGGCCATAGCACGGCACAGAGCAGCGACAGCGTCGGCTGGCTCGCGTCCGTCAGCGCCACCGTCGACGTTTGACTACAAAGCGTCGGTCAACAATATCATCCGTGTGCATGCCCAAGTGGCGGGGCGATTGCAGCCCCACCACGACGACCACCACCAACCTGTCGACGGACAGCACGCGGCGTTGGGTCAACATGGACAGCGCATGTTCCAGGTCGGCGCGACTGTCGCCGTAGTCCTTGCGCACAAACTCGACGGCCAAAATGTCATGCAGAAACAACGCCTTGTCGAGAAGCGTCTGTTTGGAGCAAGTCGTCTATGCGCGCGCAGATCGACACATCAAAGCAAGTTCCAGCAGCACATGTCGTTGGTCACGGCATGCCCCACGACGCATGGATCGACGTACCGAAGCACTGCCACACGATGCGTTGGACGCCGCGGTTGCCGCATGTAGCGCATGGTACGTGCAAGCGATGACGCCTTCCTTGTAAAACCAATGCAAAATCTTGTTGCGGTAATAGCCGAGACCGATCATGTTGGAGTATTGGTCCCGCTACCACTCCAACACGTCAACCAATTGCTCGAGCCACTCGTTGTCGCACGTTTGTGATGGCTGGTTCGACCAAGTTGGATCGGCGCCAGCAGATCAAGTTACCGAGCAACGTCAGCGCCCTACAGAAAAAGAGACGCATACTCCACGGCCATGACCGCTCGAGCGTTCGTACCGTTCCGTCATGGCTGCCGGTGTTCGCCCTTGCGATCCCAGCACGCGGCCGCCTCGCGCGACAATCTCTTTGCGCAGCCAGTTGGTCTGGCCAATTAGTTGCTCCCTAGTGCATCATCCCATCGAGTGTCAACACGCCGCGGCATCCACGTGCATCCATGGGCGGCACGACAAGCGCATGCGAACGACCAGCTTACTTGGTCACGCCATTGCGAAACATGAGCAAGATCGTCGCCACCAAATGGCACGGCGTGCATGTCGCGCGGCGAATCATCGATGCCGTAATCGTGTACGCCAAGTCGGTCACGAGCGACACAGTCTGGTGCGTTTTCGAGTCGACGGGCGGCGACGCTTTGTACGCGCCGACAAATTCGTTCAAGTGAATCGGCGGTCCAAATCGCACCGACACAGATCCAAAGTCCTGGCGCAGCACGTGGTACGACTTGAGCAACGCGCTGACCGACTAGACCGCGGCAAGCAAATCGTGTCAGCACCAACAACACACACGATGATGCAACGACGGATGCGCAGGAAGCAGCAGCACGTGTCGGCACGTGCTACACCGACACACTCGAGACTTACTTCTTTGACTTTGCCTTCGCCCAACAGCTCCTTTTGGTGCACCGACAGCTCGACCGGCTTGTCGTAGTCGATGGTGACAGGAACAAGATGAATCTACGACCATGAAAGGCGAACGGAGATCGACCGCCACTACGTACGTTGTCGACCCGGCCCGATTCAAAGCACTTGACGACGGTCGAGAGCATGCCGAATTGAGGCGGCAGTTGCTTTCCGCTGCGACTGCGCGTCCCTTCCAAGAAAAACTCGACCGTGTGCCCCTTGGTCAGCAAGTACTACAACACGGGTGAGCCGGTCTTCATCGCCAGAAACGAATTCAGCACGGCGGCGTCAACGAGATCATTCAAACGCAAATCGTTCAAGCGCAGACCCCACAACGCAACAGGACCTCCCGTCCAAGCAAACGCTGCCGCTGACGACGACGACATGCGCTCACGATGCAAACGCCGCACACCAGGCCAGTCAAGAAAAACTTCACAATCGATGCTCGATCTGGCAAGCGCTACCCACGTCTTGCAAGCCGTCCGATATAAAACGTCGATTCACGTCATCCCGGAACACATGCACCAGAAAATATGGATGGCTGGCAGCGCTCGGCGGGGCAGCACAATACCTGGGTATATTCGGAAAACACGGCCGCGTACAGCGGATCGTCCTTGAACGACCGACGCACGAAGAAAGCGCCGCCCTCACGAAGAACTCTGGTCATCGGCCTACGCCCAAACGAAGTCATACCACGTCCCGCCATCATCGCGCGCGTACCCCATGTTGAGAAAATCCTCGCCGGCAAAAATGTGCGGCACGGGGATATTGTACGCAAAGAAAAGGTACGTCATCATGAGAAAATCAACGTAAGATCGGTGGGTCGGGATCAAGACCAACGGGCCGTCGCGGGCCTGGACCAACTTGCGGATCGTTTCCAGCCCCGCTTCGTCGACAATGATTTTTTCGTACATTTGGCGCCACACCTACGCGTCGCCACCACGAACACGTGAGCCTCCCCGCCATGCATTCGGTTTGGTGCAAGCCATCCAAACTATTCCGCATCGAGGGGGGGGTCGGCCACTCCTTGCCACGCAGCCCCCACGCCGACCCGGTCCGAATTGTTCAATGGTACCTTGCGCAGCAACCACCCCGCGACGCGCACCGTCTTGTAGTTGATCGTCGCGGCCATTCTCGTGAGCATTTCATGCACCTGTCGCTCCATCGCAGCGCGGTCCGCGTTCGGATTCACGTGCATGGCATTCGCAAGAACTTGCTGCACCCCCGTCGAGTGCAGGACATGGTCGTGGATCGCTGACAACGGGTCCGCCGGCACTCGTGGCACGTACGTGGCTTCGTGGTGGACGCCTTCCTTCCATCCTACGTTGTGCACTTTAGACACACTCGACGGCATCGCGACGTCAATGGCACACCCGTGAGTCCCATGAACCGGCCCCAAATGCCCGATGTCGTGTAGCCCGGCTTGCGGCTGGACGTAAACGCCCATGAGATGTCGGGCAGCAACCCCGGGAATGAAATCGCATGGTGGTCCGGGTCCCATTCCAACATGCGCTCGGTGCTCAGCGCCATCTACGGTCGCCACCACCGTCAGCATAAAACCGTGGGTTGCACAGCCAGCGGGCGTCGTTCCAATCCGATGCCCCAAACACGTTGCCGCCAACAAGCCAACGCCAGATCACGTGCGACAAAGCGCCGACCGTTCAGCGCATGCAGGCACACAACGTAAATGCCATCGACAACGCAACGAAATCCCGCTGCCGACAACACTCGTCAGTCGACGAGTGCTGGGCACACGAGCTCGCGAAACGACCACGTCGGCCATCGACGACTCGAAAAAAAAACACACAACGATCCAAGTGCTTACCTCGGTGTGCTGCACGCCCTCAATGTCGACGTCAATGACATCTTCATGCAGGAGCCACTTCCTCAACCCGACCGAATAGTTGAGCAAGTACCGTTCCCACATCACATCGTTCGCGTCGCAACACCTGATCGCGCACGAGGACTGCATGAGATGTCGTCCGCCGCACAGCTGCGTCCCGACGGCATCCCCGTGCCATGTAGCCACGACAAGCGGCATGCAAAGGACGACGTACCAGTGAGTCGACGAGTATTCCGGCATCGACCGAAGGAATTGAAGCCCGTCCGACCGAAACACCCACTGGTTTTCCGTAAACGGTTTAAACACCTCGACGAGTTGGCGCGCGCGCCACGTCAGCTTCCACAGCCGCGACGCTTGCTTCATGTGGTGCGCATTTCCACTTGCGTTTGCAATCGTCGAGTACGCCGACGACGGCAGCGTGTAGCGCAAAAACCTATCCACGTTGTCAGGACGCCGTCGGCATGCAAGGCCTCGCCAAACACCGCCGGCCCTGTGTGCACGCCGCCGACAAACCACGACGAGATCGGACGCACCAGTGGATTTGAAACACTTGGTGGCTTGGAAACATCGTAAAGGACGGTCGCGATATGCCCTTCTCCGGCGGGTTTTGCTGAAAATACGACGACACAGTCCCAATGGGCACCCGCCACCGCAGCGGTTGCTCGCGTGGATCGGATGTGCCCGAGTGAAGGATCAGGGGCGGCGATCCCACCGGTTCTTTCGCTTTGGCGCAAGCACTCAGCAAGATCGCGTTCACGACAAAGTCCACCTACAACCCCGCACAAGAGTGAGGGCACCGCATGCCATCGTGGCCCGCGGACGTACGGGGACAATGTCTGCGATGCTGCGAGGGTCCCCAGGCAAGATGGTGAGGAGTCCCATCCCCCCCGCCAGGAAGATGGCGCCGGCCGCGGCAAGCTGATCTACCTACAGGTCGGGCCGACTCCTCGATGAGGCACTCTTCCCCCGTGCGATCACCCCATCTCGCACGCAATCGACGCCATGTCCACGTCGGACGTGCGAGTGTCCAAAATCTCCCGAGGTCCATCGCATTTGTAGCAACGTACCCAGCCTGGAATCGGCTCCTTCCACGATGCACCGACAATCGTGGGGCGCAGCAGCACGAGTGGCACATGCTCGCGGTACTTGGTCACCATGTGCTCGGCCATCGATTTGGTCAGGGTGTACGTGTTGGGGTAAGTGCCAATCAAGTTCAAATGCAGCTTCTCAATATCTTCGGTCGATGACGCCTGGCACGTATCGTGAGACGATGCTCCACACGCCGACGCGGAGGGTCGCCGCCGAAGGTGCGCATGGCGTCGGCAAGCCCAGCACAGAGAACGGTCGGAAATACCTTGGTGACGGCATCGATGGCGGCTTCCACGTCAAAGTCGAGCGGGTACAACTAGTCAAAACGGAATCAATCTCGTCGGCTCGTGGTGGATGGCGATCCCGCCGCATCCATAGCACATGACCGATCACACGCACTTGCTCCATGAGTGTGCAGTTGCGGCGGTTGCTGTTCACGTATGCCGTCGACACGTGCACGTATGCCGCGAGCGACTTAATCTTTTTGGAAAAGTTTAGCATGTACATGGCGCCGAGGGTGTTCATCTGCGCACGATGGTGAAACGGCGTGCTGCGGAGCAACGACGACCTACTTCGACAGCAACGTCCAGCGGCTCGTTGAAGCTGACACTGGCAGCAGAGTGCACAACCACGTTGACGCGGTCGATGAGCATCTGCGCGTCCTGTCGAGACATTCCCAAACTCGCCGAATTGATGTCACCCCCGACCGCCACGAGTTTCGATCGAACGAACGTATCAAAGTCCGTCGGCCGCTCCGCCCGCAATCGGTTGAAAATTGGACTACACGACGGAAACATGCCGCGATGCACAGCGAGCGTGTCGATCCAACGCATATCGAGGCACACACGACGTGGAAGTTGCGTACCTCGAGATGACGTCCGATTCAAGGCGGTCGTGCGCGGACCGACCTTTCTTCGGGCGGACCATCACATAGATCTTGTCAATGTCTGGAGTGGAGCGCAGCAGCTTCTCGATCAGCGTCTGTCGTGGACGCAATGAGCCGACGCAATGCGATGCGGGAGAGGATCCCCGCCGATCCGCGATTCAAACCGACGGCGTACCTTGCCAATGAAGCCTGTGCCGCCCGTCACAAACAGCCCTTTGCCTGCGTAGAACTGTTCCATCGATCCGTGCCGTACTCGTGAAGTCCTGCCGTGGCGACGATGGCGGTTGCGCTGCGTCGTGCGTCGTACGTGTTGATGGGACCACACAACTGGCGACGGCGGCTTTGTCCACGTGAGTGAGGTTCTGAATACATGGAAAGTATGCATCCCAAATATGAAGCGAAAGTAGCTTTCATTCGAACAGATTTAAATTGGAAATCGCATCGATTATGCAATAGAAGAATAAAATTTGATTTCATAATTAATCCAGTTGGAGAACCAACATCTTGGCAAGTTACACATCTCGCCGTGGAATTTCCCTGCACTGAACAGGGGGCGCCGACCGCCGCCGACATGGAGCATCTCGCCGCAGCTTTGAGCGGACTGTGCGAACGCTGAGCGACGGAAGACGTCATCAACGCTTCGAGGGCCGTCAGTCGATGCGATCGGCCGCCATGCGATGGTATTTGTATCACAGAAAGCATAGAACGTAATGGCAGATCGTCGAGCCAACGACGCGAGGAGCATTGTCGTCAAAATGCCGTGGACGGGTCGGATCGTTGCCGTCGAAGCGATGGGTCACGTGCAGATCGAAGAAGGGCTGCATCGACGCCGTGCATGGTTTCATCTTGCTGCGTCGCGGCCCTCGCGCCCAAGCGCTGAATGTGCCGTCGGAATCGTTCGAGCTGGATGTGCTCCAAGTCGTTCGTGTCGAGATGGCACCCCCACAACGCGGCCTCTCGCTCGAGCGGCACACTGTCCCCCGTTGCAGCGTCCACCGCTCCATGCGACACGTACACGTGCCGCAGCACGGTGGACTGCGGCGCGACCTCGTCAAAAACATACCTACACACGCCCGCGTCAAGCCAACTCATTTGCTTGACGCATCCGTCGCTGCTTCCATCACTTCACCAGCCACTCCATGGGCACCACCACCATCAGATTCCATGTGGATGACATCGATGTAGCAACTATGGCATCGAGAGGACCGTACCACGACAAGGTCTTGCGCCCGATCGCAGCGCTGGGAAACTTTTCGTCTTGCGGCACGCTTTGCCCGACCACAACGCATCGTTTGTGCCGCTGGTCGGTGCCATGGCGTGGTGTGGGGGGTATGGTCGGGACGATCGAGGGATCGTCGATGTCTTTGCGCACCGGACTGTCGCACACGAACGTTCGATAGAGGATGCACGTTGCTTTCTGCATGCCCCGCGTTGCCACACGCACGTACGAGAGGGCGCGGCTGCCGACGGCGGAATTCTCGGCCACATTGCGCACGGTCTACAGCCAGCGACAAATCCAACTTAGCCATAGCAGGCACACAGCCATGCAACAACGCAACCGCACAATGGGTGTAGGCAGCCGTGCAACGCACCTCGTCGTCTGGGCTGGCCACGTCGATGCGGCGACGCAAGCACTCCGCCGAGCTCACGTTGGTATAGCTCTTGTGCTGGATTTCGCGGTCGTAGACGCAGCGCACCACGGCTTCGATCGCCCCGTGAAACACTTTCATGTACTGACTCACGACAGCCACGCTGCCGTCGGACGCGCGATCTTCCACGACGAGCCGAAAACACGGCGCGGCGTGCGTGGACAGGATCGGTGGGAACTGGTACGTGGCTAAAATCGCGTCTGTGTTATGGAACATGAGCTGCGTGAGCCAGTCCAGGCCGTGGCGCCGCGCAATCGGGTGCTTTACCAACGGCATGCGCGCCAGTGACATGTTGGCCACCCCCCACGGCGGGTGCATCTACTAGCATCCTGTCCATGAGACAACGCCGGGCGATCGAAACAAGTGTACCGGGACAGCGTTGGTTGTCGCGAGCGCGACCCACGCCTGGAGCCGCTGCAACGCTTCACGATGTGCTTCCACTTTGTTGTCGAGGTCGCGGTGCGTCACCATGGCGTCCCGCGCCGACGTGCGCAGGGCCAGGGCCACTTGCTGCCATGACAGCATGAAATCGTGCTTGCGACGACGGCGAGGCGTCGCGGCTCGCTCGTGCAACCGGACGAGCATCGTCTCCAGCTCGGCGACTTTTATGCGGAGGCTTGCCACCTCTGCCTTCTTCTCCTCGCGGTATTCGTGTTGATATTGCGCTTTCGCCGTCGGTCTCCACGGCGGCGGTCTCGACATTCTCCGCGGCAATGCGACTTGTCCAGTGCGTCAACATTCGCTGGACTGGCGTTTGTATGACTCATCGTGCCACGGTACAGTATGTTCAAGATGGGCGAAGAACTGCAGATCATGGAGGGAGTGCGCGCACACGTATGGAGCGGCGGGATGCCGGGTATGGGAGCTGGAAGGCCACGCGGACTCTCGGCGTGCGGTGACGTTGCGCCTGTGGGCATGACCTTGCTAGGATACAAGGTGTGCACGTCGACGAAGTGCCGTCCAAGAAGACGCGTGTTATGCGTGTGGCGGCATCCGTGTAGCTCCACAACGTCATGCGAGAGCCCCACGAGGAGCATCGGCAAGGATGCACTGCCCGGAAGTTTCATAAGGTGCGGACGCTCAGGACCACGCAGCATCCATGGCACCCCCGCGCCAGCGTGGGCCTCCGAGGGGAATGCCGCAAGTCCTCCCCATGACGGTGCCGCGAGGAGTGCGGCATCGCCCACGCGTCACAGCAAGAAACGTCAACTGAAGTTACGTTTTAGCCCCACTCGACGACACCGCCCGCAGTTTGTATATGGAGCGGAACTCGGTGAACGACGACATGGGTGTGTGGAGTTCGATGCATACGATATGGCTCGGCACAACTCCCATCCACGCAAGCACACTATAAGCCACATTACATTCTTCCTACGACTCCATGCACTCGTACGCTGATGGAACTCGAGTGCGTTTGCAATGTCGGTCATGGCGACAACTGTCTAGGTGATGCCCGACGTTTGAGATGGTGGGTTGTGGCGGGTGTGCACCGAGCATGGCATCCGCGAGAACACAATGCGGAGTTCTTTGGCGGAAAGACCTGCATGTCGTCGCCTTGCTTCCCTGCAGCTGCGACCCATGGGCGTGTCGTTCGTTCTGCATTGTCGTTCCAGCATTGCTTCGTATGGTCCACGTGCCTTGGTAATGCGCCAAGCGGCCATGTCAATAAGCGAACTCGACCTGCGGTGCCGTCATGAATTGGTTGTGACGTGCATGCTGCTTTGACGGGATGCAGGGGGTGGTGGGTGGCGTGAATTCTTCATCGTCGGGCAATGTGCATGTTGAATTTTATGAAAAATCTTCGAAAATGGCCATGGAAATTTAGGGAAATTGGATAAAAAAGCAGACTTTTTCATGACATTCGTCGTGGAAAATGGGCGAGTGTGCTGCTGAGAGTGCGATGGTCGTTGGCACGGATGAAGCGCGCCGCCGTCGGCGCCTGTTGGCGTTCGGAAATCCCATGGTGGACGTGCTGTTGCATGTAACAAGCGAGGTGGACCCGCATCCAACACGACCATGACGTGCTGTGACGTTTAGAGCACTGTAGTTCGTGTCGTCGCACAACCTGATCCACGGAGAAGCAGTACGTTCATTGGTGTGTGTGGTGCATGACAGCGCATGCGATTAGATTCAAGCCCATGTCCCGGACGATGCAAGGCAGCGATTACTCAACGAAGCACTGGCCGTGCCAGGAATGATTCGTGCCGCTGGTGGGTCTGCCCTGAACTCGGCCCGCACGATTCAGGTACGGAGAAACGCTGGAACAACAGGTCGCGCTCATGCGAGATGTTGCAGTGCCTACTTCCACCCATGTCGAGTGTATTTGTGGGAGCAGTCGGCGATGACTCGAACGGCGCATTCCTTTTCCACGAGTCGTCGAAACAAGGTCGCGTCGACACTTGGCTGCACCTCAACCGTTCTCGCAGGTGTCGAGATGCATCTGCAGACCGTCCCAAACATGGCAACATCGACGTGCGTGTGCTACATCACCCCCGATCATGAACGAACGTTGGTCGTCCATGGCGCGGCACACCACCACTACACGTTCAACGCGACCTTTGTCGCCGCGCTCGACACCGTCGACATCGTCTACATCGTGTCGTTTGTGCTGTCAGCGTCCACTCGATACGAGTGTGCCGTCCATGCGGCGACGCATCTTCGTCCGAACCAGCTCTTGTGCATGAACTTGTCGTCGACGAATCTCTTGCACGTACGCATTGCAACTCGCGAGAGACACGTCTTCCTGCGAACGGACCCTAGAAACCTGTCGTGATGGAGAGGCTGTTGACCCTCTTGCCATCGACGCATGTCGTCCTCGGCAACGCCAACGAGTTCCGAGCCCTTGCCATCGCGCTCGACATCCCCGACACATCCATGCCAGCGCTAGCCCAAGCCATCGCGACCCATCCCGCCGTGTCGGACCATATTCTGTTGATCGTGACGGATGCTGCCAACCCAACGTGGGTGGTTCACAAATCCGAGAGGTCCGTCCCCCCGACCGCGGGCGCCGCAATTGAGCTTGATGATGTAGCATGGCTTGTCCAGTCCAACGTGTTCAGGACAGCACGGCTTTTGTTGTGCGCGACACTACTGGCGCTGGCGATGCGTTTGTCGGAGGCTTCTTGGCGGGCCTGTACGTCCATGTTTCGGTGCTTTCGTGAAGTCACACGGATGATGGGCTAGCATGACAAACTGCAACGTGCGCGCGTGTGTGGAGCTCGGGCACGTGTGTGCCCGGCGGTGTGTGCAGCAAATGGGGTGCCAGATTCAATTGACGGCGGGCGAACGTAATCGGTGCCAGGACATCATCCAAGCCGCCAGAACCGCCGACGCAGACGCGTTGCCGCTGTTTACGTGGCTCGAACGCAAACGAGCGCTGACTTCGTAGCCGACCACTTGGCGAGTTTGACAGGAATGCGCCAATATTGCAATTGTTCATGAAAAAGCCCCGCGGTTCCGTTGGCCATCCCCAATATCATGGACGCGCTCGTGGCCTTGATCTCTCGGTGAATCACGTCCTTGGCTTGTGCAAACACGCGCATGCGAGCGCAACGACTTCACGCGCCGGCAGCTCTTCCGAGAACCGTCGGACCTCTTGTGCAGTTCGCCCCGGGCCAGAGACTCGGCAATGTGGTCGATGTGCTGTTGGCATAGCGTACCCATATAGCCGCAGGATGATTTTGTGGCGCAAGTGTGATAGAGCCGCAATATTTCCCGACAAAGCTGGTGCTCCACGTTTGCCTTGGTCGGCTGCGCCGCATATTCGAGAACCGTGAGCGCCACGAAGTACTGCGACATATTCCCCCGAATCGAGAATACGCCGCATGGCCTCGGCACTCATCTTCCATTCGCAGGTGGCCTTGGACGAGGATGCTGTGGCGTGTGCATCGGTAGAGAGCGCTGCTTGTGCTCTAGAGCGAGCTGTATTGCTCGACGAATGTGTGAAGAATGCTGCTGCATGTGCCAAAGTTGTGCCATGCCGGGTGGGATGTCGATGGTCCAAATCGACCTACACAGACCAGCGTAGTTGTTGCCGGTGGCATTTTTCGGGGGCGTAGAGTTCGTCGCAGACCAAGGTGTCTTCATGGGCGCAGTTCCTGCTGCAACCGCCTTACGCGACATACCCTCAGGCACAGCATCCTGTCGTCGACGCTGGATAGCCGATGTGTCGGTGGCGAGTCGGGGACGTCGAGTGATCGCGGCGTGTGCCTCCTCTGTCACCGCTGCATGAAGATGTCTCTGCGCACATTCTTCAGTCAGATTCACTTTCCAAGCAGCCGAGACCACTTCCTGGTGCTTTGACCATACCTTTTGCTGGGGACTTGCATGATCTTGTGCTCTCGAAACAGGAGCGCATTGCCGTGCGCACCGACCTGCACTTGCCTCCACGTCAGATATGTCTGGGGCACACGTGGGCGAGGATACGTCGCGCGATCGTGGGGGTCCTGGCGGTCAGTCCCAACTTCGGGCACGATCGCGTCAAGACACAGATGCATCGTTGGCGGATGCGTGTGGACGACCTTCCTGACGACAACGTTCCTTCTACACACGAATGCTGTCGAGACGACGCATGCCCTTCCCAGCGTCCTCGCTTGCCCTCGGCCCACCGCTGTTTCCCAGTAGCCCTACTCGAGGGCGTTGCTTCGTGCAGGAACGCGGCTGGACAACGTCCCGTGGCATCTCTTCACTAGCGACGGTTCCACGAGCGCCGAAAGCCGCCCCATGCCATGCAAACTTGTGCTGGGTCACGCGGAGGCATTCTTCCGTGCGTGCATCGTTGAGCACGACCCACTCCCCACTGGTCGACAAACCTCGGGGGAAGCGCACGTGGGTCGAGTTGCTCGGTAGTTGCTGTTGTCGTTAAATGGGCGATGGAAATGCGGGAAAAGGGCGACAAGATTGCTGTGCAACGCCGGTTGGATGGCATTTCATTGGAAGAAATGAGGTGTTGAATGGCATCGGATTGGCCAAAAAATCGAATTCGAATGAAGCCCTTCCATGATCCAATACGAGAATGGAATCGCCGACGAAACGATTGAAGGCGGCACTGTTCCTGGATGCAGACGACGACCCTGCAGCGGACGATGACCAGGCAGACGGACTGAAAAACGTGATCGTGTCTCCCCTTCTGTCTCCCTCGGCGAGCGACGACGAGGCACTGGATGTCGGCGAACGACTGTGTCGCTGGCTTGAAGCCAACGGTGCCGAGTTGTCCAAGCTTCGAATTGAGACGTACGCACCAGAAGTCCGTGGTGTTCACGCACGAGACCATATTGTGGCGAAGGAGCGAGTCATGCGGATTCCGTTGAACTGCCTCATCACGGTCGAAATGGGCAAAGCAACCGAGCTCGGTCAAAAGTTGCTCCACGTCGAGTTCGCTGCCCCAAAGCATATCTTCCTCATGATGTACCTGCTCACAGACATGGAGCTTGGAAATGGGTCGTTTTTCAAGTGCTACTACGATTCGCTGCCGAGTACCTTGTCGAACATGCCCATCTTTTGGCGCGACGACGAACTCGCGTGGTTGCAAGGGTCCCACATTCTCCATCAAATTGCCGACAGGAAGGCCGCCATTGAGCGCGACTATCAAACGATATGCGGCATTGATCCCGACTTTGGGGATCGGTTTTCGCTCGACCGGTTCTCGTGGGCGCGAATGGTCGTGTGCAGGTACAATCGCTTCTGCCAACGCGCCATTCTTCTGCGTGGCTGGTCGAACCAAGCCACGACACTCGTCTTCGCTTGACACGAATTTGGCATTGGTGGCGTTGTGTGCATGGTTTCTGCATGACGTGTCCTTTGCACATGGCGCCGATGTTAGACTGAATATGTTTGGCCTGCGTAGTCGTAACTTTGGGCTTACGATTGACGGCGTCAAGACGGCTGCGCTGGTGCCGTACGCCGACATGCTGAATCACTACCGGCCACGGGAAACATGGTATTGTCGGTGGCGCGACGCCGACCTTTGACATCTTCAACTAGTTGGACGTACGACGCGTCCGCAGACGGCTTTACCATCACGGCATTGCACCCGATAGCTTCAGGAGCTCAAGTGTACGACTCGTACGGGAAAAAGTGCAACCACAGGTAGGCATCGATGCCTTCATTGCCGGCCAGTTGACGCCCGTCGACTTTTCATGTATCGTTCCTTGACGACTGCCCATTCTCCTTTTTGCTGTGTTTTCCCAAGCAGGATTGCGTTGCGCGAGGTGCATCCTTTGTGGCGGGACGTATGGACGCGCGGGTCGACCGTTCGTCTGACCAAGCCACTTGAAATAGTCCATGGCATCGTGGGTCGGCCCACGCGGCAACTCGTCCACCGTGTTGTTGGTAGTCATGGCGTGAGAGGAAAAACAGTCTCGGTCGGCGTTGTGGGTTGGTGTGTTGTGTGCTTTCCTGGGCGGGTGCCACCGTGGTTCATTCGTTTTTCAACAAATGTTGTTGTTGCTTGGGTCATGGCGTGTGTTTTCGAGTGGACAGCTATCCTGGCGACGTCGCCATCGACGCGGGGTGTTTGCGCCGTCATCCGCTCGACTAGTTCATCTCAATGGATTCGTCGATGCTGTAGATTTCTACTCAACTACGGGTTTGCTGTCAAGGACAACATCGAGGAAGATGGTCGCAGCCCCAACGAAGTGTGGATGCCGTTCGACTTTTTGCCCAACGAACCCCCCATGCTCACGTCTGCCAAGCGCCAGTACGTCCACCAACGTGCGTTCTCCATGTGTTCCATGCTGCTCGGTGGTTGATGCGTTGGTCTGCGCTGAAATCGTTGGCACTGGCCGTCCCGTGTGCTATAGTATGCCTCGACGCGTTCGTTCATCTGGGTGTCGATGAGTTGGTGCATGGATTGTAGCCCTTTGCATGGCGGATGATGTATATGCGCCACAACGGTAGCGCCTTGATGCATCATGACGACGGTGTGCGCACCTTCACACCCGCGAGCGACGTCCTCATCCCCACCCTTGCACAGGTACTTGCACGACAGTGGCGTGTCGTCGATGCATACTCGCTTCAGCACATGCCACTCGGACGTCAACACGCGCGAAGGGCTGAGTTTCGTACGGCTCATCGTTGCCACGGCCGACGAGTTTGAGCACATGGTGGGGTCGGCGCCCGCACACGCGTCGCCGCCCGTGTCTCTGAACAACGAAAGGCGAGCATTGCAGCACCTAGGCGCGCTCATGACTGTCCAGGTCGGTGTGGCTCGTGCACACTGTGGACTTGACGGTGCTCGTAGCTGTACCAGTACCAGACGACGCTGGCCGACGACAACGCGATGCTTGAATCGCCCGCCATCGCAAACGATCCGTACTCAAATCGCGCACAAGCATTGTACTTTGTGCGTGGGGAGAAGCAAGTGTGTGCGCACTACCAGCAGTTGGCCCATGAAGCGCAACGCGTCCTTACGCAGCCGGCGGACGCCATTCGAGCGATATCCCGTGACTTGTACGAGGACAACGACGACGTGCTGAGCTGCTACCTGGCCGACGTGATCGAGTACTTGGTGCCGTCGAACAGCGAGAGCCCTGACCCAGCCAACGACGAAGACGTGGCGGCATCGTCATCACTTGGCGCTCCGGCGGTCCCTTTGGATTAATTCGTTCAACTCGTCGCATGAGAGAAGTCGTCGTCAGAAGGTTCGACGGGACAGTGCTAGGGAAATAGGCCGATAAACAAGAGCGACCGCCAGCAAAACCACGGCAGAAACAATCTTGTATGACCATCCAAACAGTGTCTGTCATGCTGCATCGTGCGTTGCCGACCGCTCCTGACGACGAGGTCTTGCGCGGAATCCCGAACGCTTGTCGGCGTCCTTACACGTTGGGTTTGTTCCAATGCCACCGGGACACCGCTTTTCAACCCCCCTCCTTCGTTGTCGCAAGAGGCTAGACTCTAAGTACTTCCAGTATGATCTCTCCGTACGACGAAGGTACATGGAGAGTGGATAGAGAAATTTCGTCCATCGCACACGTAGAAGGTTGGTGGTACAGCACACGATGCGACGGAAGAAACGTGTCCGCACAATCCGCAGACGCAATGGATATGCCATCGAAAGCCCCCAAGTACAAGAAGAAGTCGTCGCAAGGAGCTCTTACAATGCACGTCGACTGCAAGCACCAGGCGTGAGCATACAGACTTCACAGCGCCTCCGCGACCGCGGAATCGTCTCGAGCCGGCGAAGTGTCCGGATAATTTACGAAACCGTGTCGGTTGGGTGGTATCCGGATTGGCGAAGATTTCTCGCATGAGCACGAGCGGTGCGAGGCCGCGACCAAGTTCGTACCAACGGCTCCCGCTCGCCGACGATGGTGACAGCCCTGCCAGCGTGGACGCGAATGCTGAGACGGAGATCGAGGAGCTGAAGAAACGGGCGCAAGGCAAGCCGCCAAGCCGTGCTGAAGTCATCAGCACAAAGATTCACGCATTCCTGTGGATCGTTGGTGCCGGGTTTCTCCTGTATTACTTGGATGTCATGCACGTGGCATTCCGTGACTCGCGCGTCCATCGGTGCAATTGGAGTCGTGTTGTTCATGGACTCTCATGGTGCTGGGTGTGTGTAGGGTGTACTTTAATCTTGGGCTCGTGTGCTTTGGCATCAACACGTGCATCACGTTGTACTTGGCGATCTGGCTGCCGTACGTCAAGAAGATCGACTTGGAATGGAACGTGTACTGCCCCCGAATGGTGCCCACCGCGACGATCGTCGGGGTTGTCTGCGCGCTCATGTAATGTCCCATTCGACTCGCGGTGAAGGAGGAACACGTCATCATGGCGCACGTGTTTTAGGTTCACGATGGGTCTGTGGCCAGTGTGGGGCTTTTTCACCCCCGGCATCTTGTTCGTTCTGTTCCTTGGGGCCCTCATGACCGCTCATTTTCTACCCGCCCTATAAATCATTCCATCCTGGGCACAACGTCTTCCTGGTCAATCAGCAGCGTTTGATGACCAAGGTCCACTCAGCAGCAACCAGAGTACATTCTAGCAAGTCGCAGTAGATGTATCGCTTGGCAAGCAATGCCTTCAAACCTCTGCCAATCTAGCGGCCAACAATAGCCAACCCTCTGTCGGTCTCAGCGAGCTGCTCCAGTGTGTCTCCGATTACATGCGAGATGGTTCGCGACGCACAATCCGGGCGGAGGAGTACACGGCGGCGTCATTGCGGCCACGTTTCGGGCGGATGCCGCCACACCTTACGTCGTGCGCGCAAATACTGGAGCAGGGCGTAATCCAACAGGAGCATGAGGTCGCGTCATGAGAGTATTTCACGCCTAAAGCACGATCGGAAGCTAGCGCAACCGCCGCCGCGCAACGCTCTAGACTCGCCATGCGATGACGCTCTGAACGTTTGAATCAAGAGCATCCTCCTGTGCCATGGACGCAATACGGTGAACTACCACCACGTCAAGACGCTGGGGTGAGCACACGACGTTGGCGAGGTGTGTAAAAGCGCGTGCGGCGCCGTCGACAGCGGCGAGACTGGACCAAACGAGTTGTGCTGTCATGCCGATGTAGCCATCGTTCGTGCACGGTCGATTGTCGCATATGTAAACAGCCGTCGATCCGCAGCAACTCCATGGAAAACTGTTTGGAATGCCCTATGGTCGATGACGACAGTGGCGGGACATCCTGGTTGCGACATCCATGTTTTGCCCGTGCGAACGAGGGGGCGCGCGAGCCAACCGATCGGTGCAGGACGGTGCATTTTCAAGCAGCACGGCATAGCTCCACGGGGAGAAACGGGTGCTGGGGTGGCGGCCATTGCCGGGCAGAAACGATCGAGTTCGCGGTGAAGCACGCGCGCGACACAAGGACGTCGTTTTTCTCGATAAGCAGCGACCTCCATCGACTGCAACCACGTCACGTGGATGCCAATGGTCGGGCACTTGAAGCAAACTGCAGGCGGGAGGACGATCGATTTGGTTGGACTCGACAACGGCACAGAAGAGTGTGTTGAAACTCTTCCACAACATCGTGTGCCGTGCTTGCTGCGAGCACGGCGTGGCCAACGACGACTCGTCGAACGGACGGGCTTGGTGGAGCGATGGTCGTCCCAGGAACTCGTATGGTGTGGTTGTCTCCACAGCGAGAATGCAACCTCTTTCAGCCCACCACGCCACTCGTTTGACGGACAGCGGCTCACAGGGCACAAGGTTCCTCCATCTCTGCAGCACGACCCCGTTCGAAGCAATTCATGTTGCTGCATGTAGCCCTCATTCATGGCCGGTTGTTCCCTGGCGAGATTATCTGTCTATGCGACGAAAACTGCAAAACGGCGCAACGTCGGACGTGGCAGCAGTGGCCATGGCATATTCGGACAACGGACCGCTGCGACGTCCCGTTTGACGACCCTCATGACGAAAGGGCCTTCCCGTTTCAGCAGTCAACTCGGTCAACAACTCGACAAGCACGACCCTGTCATCACGGCATGCATGGACCCATCCATGAACGATGAGACTAGGCTACAGCGGATGGGGGGGTACGTTGTTGGCGGCGTGCAACCGCTCGAGCCGTTCCTGCCTGGCATGACTCGCTCCACCCCCCGTTGCAGGGGGCGCCTACCTGCTGTACTCGACAACGTCAGCAGTCGACGAGCATCCTGTCGTCGGGGTTGGCAGCGCCACCACGCCACGGCTCCACCCTCGCAGTAAAAGTCCGACTCGAAGTTCGCATGGATGGAGCACAATGCGTCGAACGGTTAGTACTTACTACAGTTGGAGTATTAGGTCTGCAGACGGTAACCAGATAACTGCATTGCACAAACCATGTGGAGGTCGAGACTCAGTGGGCGAGCCAGGCGCTGCCGTAGAGCCACCGTGGCTCGACAACAGTGTGCGAGACGACGATGCCATCACGACTTCCGGTCGCGACCCTTTTCACCTCATGCGAATGGCTACGGCAAACTGCACCACTTGAAAGTTCCATGTGGCACCGCAGTCGATATCAAGCGCGCCGTCGTCGTAGTTGACGACGTCATCGTCGTTGGCAAAACGTAAGAGCAGCGTGTGGCGAGATGAGGTCGCCGCAGGAGGTGGGCGATACAGCTGCCATGCTCGCGATTCAAGTAGAGGTGGGGGTGGCACCGGCTACAATAGTAGCATCTGGAATGAGCTAGTAGTACTAGACGCCTACAGGATGGGCGAGCCATTGTGGCGACGTCCAGGGTCGGTCGCTGCTCCATCGAGCGCCGCACGACCGAGTCGTGGCCGCCAGCAGCGGCAAGTCCATTCGCGCGACCTCCGAACGATGTTTTCATGTAGCCTCGACGGCATCGACGGCTGCACCTACTAGCCATGGGCATCGTTGAGCCGTGGTGGTGGCCCGTCCAGCCAGATTGCCATGTGGCGTCCGTCAGTAAAAGCAACCCAGAGCCACCTGCTGTACCATGTCGACGGGTGTGGACGAGGACCAGTTTGGAATCTGACATGCTGCGAGCGTGTGTGCTTTGTGTCCTGGCTTGCGCTGCCGCCGCCGCTGCCGACGCGCGGTGGGCGACGTTCCTGGCTTTACCCAACATCACGTCCATGTACGGTCACACTACGCTTCACGGTGTGACGTCGTTGTAGTGAAACCACTGTGACCACGGGTGACGAGCGATACCTGGACGTGCTGTACAACGGCGAAGAGAGCCGCGAGTACGCCGAGTCGGCGGCCCCTTGCCAACTCACACGGCTTGGATAGGACCTTTCTCATTACACCCGACTTGACACTGGACGACGTCGTCCTGCCCGAGGGCCTGCGCAAGTTTTCCCTCACGCGCGTGAATTTGGCCGCTCTTCCCGACGGATTTCAATGGCCATCGACCGTCGACACGATGTACGATGATCGGCGCGTGATCACTGCGTGGGCTAACTAGATGGCGTAGTGACCTGTCGTCGAATGCCTTGACGAGTGTACCGACCGACTTGATGTGGCCCGACGAGCTCAAGACTTTGTATGCACTCGCGTCGTGGTGATGCCTGATTGCATCGTTTGATTAGGTCCCTTGCCAACAACCACTTGGCAGACTGTGTTGCAAACTTGCCTGCGTCCGTGACGTCGCTGTACGCTTCCGAATCGATCGATATGGTCGCATGGCTCACGCTCGCGTTTCGTCCAGAGACCTCGGCGAGAACGAATTGAGTTGCATCGACCAGTGCGAATGGCCCGATGCGCTCGAAGCGCTCACGTTGTCTGGCAACCCGTTGAATGCCGTCGAACCCACGCAATCGTGGCCTGCCCAGCTCAAAGAACTGTACGTGTACCGCGAGTCGTTGCGGCGCCGCTCACCATGCGATGCACAGGCGCATGGACAACACGCAGCTCGACAGTGTGCCACCAAATCTTCCCTCGTGCCTCCAGCAACTGTACGAGACGATGCGCTCACGTGCACGGGGTCATGGTCATATCGATCGTAGGCACTTGACCAACAACCACATTGCAGCTTTTCCAAAGAACCTCCCGTCGTCGCTCGAATCCTTGTACGTCGCCACGTTGGTCGCCGATCTCATATGCGCGACGTGCTCAGGTCGCTCTCGTACAACTCGATCAAGTCGGTGCCTGCCGCCCTGGACCGCTTCCCCAACCTGAGCGTCTTGTAAGGCATTTGGTCGCATGCCGAGCCCGAGCTTGAACGACTGTGGCATGTAGGCAACTCGACAACAACCAGCTCACGTCGCTGCCGGCCAAGTTGGCCTTGCCCACGGGGTTCCGCATGCTGTACGACCCATCCGCGCGATCGCCGCCCGTGCCGCTGACGGCGTCCGTGTAGGAGTTTGTCCAACAACATGCTCAAGTCGCTGCCGGCCAACTGCAATTCGTGGCTCGCCAACATTGAAATCTCGATCGAGTTGGACGGCAACCAGCTCACGGCGCTGCCGTCGAACGTTCAGTTTCCCGACGAGACAAACCTGGCCAACAACAAGATCAAGGTGCTCCAGAACATGGCGCTGCCCAAGACATTCCGCATGGCCAACAATCCCCTCGAACGCATCTCCCGCGTGCGTGTGGCGGACGGCAGCTTCTGGCAAACCTCGCCCGCCACCCTCAAGTCGTTCTCCATGGACGATGCGTCGTTTGCGGTCCTGGAAAACATGATGTATGGCTTCTCCAGCATTGAATGGACCGTCGACGCCAAGTCCGCTGCCGCCGCGTGCAAGGCCGAGTCGGGCGTGCTCAAGCCTTTGAACGACGGAAAGCTCCGTGTGTGTGTCGTCCCTGGTGCGCGGCGCTAACTCGTGAAAGAATGAAATTTTCCTTTTCAACGTGCGTCTCAACACCATCGTGCGCCATCGAGTATCCCGAAGGCACACGAGAGCGCCACGATGCTGCTTCCGGGACGCGCCATGACTCGGCGAATATCTTGCACACGCCCTCTACGCTCACGGTTGACGCAAGGACGGACCGCAATGTTGCAAATGATCTCTATCGTGCCGTGTCATCGTGGAAAGCGGCGGCGGCGACGCCTCCTTGCCCATACGACGAGAGCTAAGCACCACACAACGCATCCAAGAGATGCAGTTGCGAGCTGTGGGTGACTCCCGTGGTTACCTCTCGAGATGTGCGGGATCGCATGCAGCGTGAAGTCCATCATGATAGTGAACCCTACGGCAGGTTTTGTTCGCGACATGAGCTGGGCTTGGAGAGTGGCGCGGTTTTCGCTCGACGGTCGCGGCGCGTCTGTGTCGTTCGGGTACAACAAGTCAGCGCCACAACGTAATTGGTTGTGGCGGCAGATACAAAGCCATGAGGCCTTGCAGCACAGCCGACGGACGCTGTGTTCATGTCGTACACCGACCCATAGCCGAGGCGCCAGAGCAGCAACGTTGGCGCGGAGGTCGACGGCAGGCGCGATCGATACCATACGGTCAAGCAAACCATCGGACGTTCGACGAGACAACGATGCCGAGGTGTAGGCGATGGTCGTCGCGATAGCCGCGACGGCAATGCCACACACGAGCTCAACGTCTACTAGATCGAGTGGGCACTCTGGTGGAGGCTGGCACCACGGCGAGAATGGCGCATGGAATCGTTTAGGAACATGCGGCTTCACGCGCGCGAAGACGATGACAGCGCAGTCGTCGAAACCATCCCGACTCTGATAACTATGCGCCGTCGCGCACCACGGCAACTACGACACTAGAAATGCTGCGATCGCGTCGACCAGATACAGCGTCGACGCCAAACACGTCCTCTCGCAGAATGTCAACCATGCCAGCAAACAGCGCATACATGTTGAAGCCCTCCATGCTCCCCACAATACAGATACCAGCACAGCCCACAACGGGGAGCTTGACCCCCGCCGTGTCCATGCTCCCCACAAATATCGTCAGCACTTCGTCCGAATGAAATACATGGTGTGGCCGATCCGCCACGTCTGTAGTAACCTCCCCGACGTCAAGGAACGCAACAAACGTCACGACGACCCGTCGCCAACGGAACAAGCAGCTCCACAAGTTCACGAGAGGTCGGCTGGATCGAGCCGTGGGCCGTCCGACCGAGCTGCATCCGTGGGACTTGGTAAGAATGGAATGCGCCATGGCGGGGGCGACGAGGACGTCCAACCCCGGCGACATCTTCTGAACTGCGTCGACAAAACCCGCATTGCTTTTAGCATCCGTCGCGGCAGCGATCGCGTTGAGGCATCGGTTGGAGCTGCTGTATAGACCCTGTGACGACCTCGATTCTGGAAAGTCCACAGTTCTGGTCGCGCGATGGCCATCGCGGCGGGCAAATCGAAACAATCGATGGCGGACGTCGTTGGAGGTCGTTTCGGGACACACGACGCTGCCACCAAACGTTGGGGAGGTCAAGCGTTGATTTGTGCAGGCACTAGGAACACCACTTTGTCCGTCAAGCATGTCGCGCGATGCTATCGACGGCGCTGTGGCGACCGTGTGTTGGTATACTGTCGATGGCCGTCGTGGCCGCACGATGGCCGGGCACGGCACGATTCGCTTGTCCACCGACTCGAACGGCATGAACTATCTCAGCTCAACCTCAATTCGTCCCGCGCCGCGACGACCGATTTGGTCCAGCAGCAGCACGCCTTTCATGGACTGGCTGGCACAGCATTGGCGGCGCTAGTCGACGTCAAGCTCACCCCACCCACTGCATTTGCATGTGGCGTCACCATCCACAGGTCGATCCCAAGCCCCCCGGACGAATGTGAAGCGGAAATCGTACGACCCGTTCGTGCGGCTCTGCAACGTGGCACTGCACCCCCACCGCGCGTTTGCGGTCATGTTTGTTTTGATGAAGGGATTCGTGGCTTTGTCATGGCTCCGTGTACTTGTTGACGATCGCGGCTTGCCGCGTAGCCCCTTCCGACAGCAAGTGCACCGTGTTCTCCATTTGAATCGGACCCAAGCCCCGTTTTGGCCATGCCAGCTTCCTTTGCAATGTCCGTGTCGAAGCTATCGACGACAACCACGCAGCCCACTCCGCGTTGCGCACGACGGATTCCACGTGCACAGAGCCATTCGATGACATCGCAACACTGCCGCGCCGCCGAGTTGGCCATGGGCCATCGCCGGCCAAAGTCGACTTGGTAAAGTTGGGCGGAGATGCACACGATTTGGAGCGAGGCAGCGGCGACTTCAACCTTGGTTGTGGTGTGCTTCATTCGAAGGATTGAGTCCAGAAGCGGCCGACGTTCTGGTGTATCGGCCGCCGTCAAGGAGCGCGGCAGCGTGCGTTCAAGGGTCTCAAACAACCAGTCGGCGATTGCATATAATGTGGTGGCCCCGGACGACACGTCGTTGGCAAATTCACGGTGGATAGCTCCATGGTCGACGACGCGCTTTCGACAGCGGACAGACTGAAGAGCACCGGCCAAGAGGAGCAGTCGTCGAAGGGATTCGTTGGGGTAGGTGCTGCAGGATGAGATCTGCGCTGACAGGCTTGCGCGCAGGCAACACTGGGGATTGTTTTGTGTTGCTAGATGATGCTGGGTTCACTTCGAAGCCCATGGCTCTTGGCGTCAATGAGCAGTGTTCTCCATCGCGAATGGTAAATGGCTCGGGTGGACCTGGCCAGCATTACCCAGGTGCGACCCTTTCGTTGCGTGGCCGTCAGCTTCGAACAGAGACGCTATTCCCGCGGTGCCGTGTACAAGCCGTGGCGTGCCTCCGATTCGATTTCCCGGACGTCGACAGCCTCACGCCGGCTACACATCCATAAACTGCCGCTCCTTGGACTAACGTGCAGCACTGCCATGGGATCAAGCTTCCAGTGGCGACGACGCCAGCTCGAGATACCATAAAGAGCCGACTTTGAAGCATCGGTGGTCGCGCACGACCTCCACGGTCATCCGACGCACCCGTTTGAGCACAGCGGTGTCCCGTACGAAGCAGCGCACGTCCGAAGCGCGACACACGTGCGTTCTTTGCGCCCACAACGAGCACTCTACCCTCGATTTGGTGCTGCAACTCGAACCGAGTCAAGATACGAGGTCATAAAAATCAACTACGTCGGCGGGGAGGGGCCCATCGCTTGCTGCGGCCAGTCTGCGAGCCACAACACGCCGTCGGGGTGTTCACATGCACGGCCATCGCAATGGTCACGTCCCAATTGTGGATTCGACGCTAGGAAGGCTGGCCAGTTTGTACATTGAACCGTCGTTTCGCTCCGCACCGACTCGCGCGGATGCGCTAGAATGCGCGAGCTCCCCAAGTCGACGCAGCAGTATGGAGGACGCTCAGTTGTGATGGCTCGAATTTTCGAAAGACGATGCAACGGATGGATTCATATCGAAGGTGGAGATGGGGAATGTGCCATGCGACGTGCGATGATCCGAGCTCGAAAGTGTGTCGGTGTGGGGAGCTCTCGTTTGCTTCGTACACAAGGGAGGATGGAGATGGTACAGCTGAAGCGCTGGCGCGATGGCAGTTTGGACGCCCGTGGATGCAGTTCACCCTCAAAACTCGTGGGCTGTGTGTCGCAACACACCCAGATTATCGTGCGAGCTAGCTTCTTGAACCTACTGGACAATGAAACACTGGTCGACCTTCACCCTGCCCCATCCTGCACAAGATAGCCGCCAGCGGACTTTCCTGGCCGTTCAACCGGTTGCAAAGGGCCAGTCGTCCTCAGCAGCCATCCCTCCACACGAGGAGGTTTAGCATCTCACGAGCGTGAAGCTAACAATAGCTCGATCACTGCGCGACCTGGTACCACGACTCGGAATGGAGAGCCGCGACGAACGACTGTCGTAGCAGCCCACGAAGGGCTCAACGTATGGATTGCCGGATCATGCTGGGCTTCCACGGAGCAACCTCCTTGGTTGGTTGCGCGCAGTCGCGGTGGTGCAGATCTTCCAGGTCATCAAGAACGGCTGGGGGGGGCGAGATGATGTGTGTCTGTGGAGTCGAGAGCTTGGCGTCCACTTGTGAAGTAGGCGTGCTCTCACCACAGCCTCCCCTGGGCAACAACATCAATAGCCACATTTCGTGAACTGCACACAGCTGCGCCGTTGCGAAAGTGCGTGGGCCACCCTACGAAAGGTCCCGACGACGTCGAGACGGTTCATATCAAAGCGTTCGATTGAGAGATCGGGCGACCGCACAGCGACAGCACAGATAGTCTTAGATGCATCATCCAGCTAGACCACGAACCGAGTGCGCACGTCTTTCGTGGCTGACGATGGCAAGGCACACAACGGCGAGCGCTGTACCGGCGCGTGGTTATGTTTCGGCTCAACAAGTGAACGCCGCCCCCAAGAACGGAGCCCCGCCACGCAGGCTAGCGCATCCCGTCGGCGCCAAATATCCCACACCCAGTGGGCCAGTTCGTCTTGTACTACGCAACGAGTTACCCGTAAGTAGGAAAGTCGATTACATACCTCTAAGCCAATCCTGTTTCTTCACACCATCGAATTTTGACCAATCGAAGAGGAGTACTAATACTCCTGTCTACCCCCAGCACCCAAGCACCCCCAGCTCTCGTGCGACCGCACACGCACATCATCCAGTTAAAAAGGTTGTCAGCCCTACTACAGAGACATATCACAAGGGGGAGTCGCGATCGTTGGCTGTCCCAGTTCATCTCGAATCGATCCAGTTGATGGCTGCTGAGCCGAGACGTGCCAAGGATGCGTGCTGCGACGCCCTATTTGTTCCTACCGAGGCAGTATGATGCGTACAGAGCGTCCATGCTGGGGTGCTATTTGATGCAAGCTGCGCAAAGACGATGGGGGCTCGACATTTTCGAGTGATGGCGTTGGCTGGGACGTTATTTGATTACATATAGTATATCAAAATAGTACGGTATTTGCCCGGTTTGGACATTTTTACGCAATTTGATGAATCACGTGGGAAATCCAGATTCAAGTGAATACGAACACAAGTCGCAATCCACTTCACTTTTGAAAATGCCGAGCCACCCGCCTTGCTTCTTTAGCCCGTGCCCGCTGCCCGCGCTCAACGTCCACGGCGTGTACAAATGCGCCACCCACAGGTACCGCGCCAAGTGCAAAGTCATCGCGTGCCCAAACCAAGCGTACGCGCGCAACATGTGTGTCCGCCATGGTGGGAAAGCGACGTGCAAGGTCGAGACGTGCCAGTCCAAGTGCCGGGTCGGCGACTACTGCATTCGCCACGGCCCCTCGCCGACGCGGCCTCGCTGCAGCGAAGTCCACTGTGACAAATTGGCCCACTCTTCGACGGGCAAGTGCTCGCATCACGGCGGTGGTCACCGCTTTTGCACGATCGACGGGTGTTTTTCCAAAGGCCAGCATGGGGATGGTTTGTGCAGCTTTCACCGGCACGTGCAAAAAGCATCTACCAACCACACGACACAAGACGATTGCGCCACAGAGTATCACGACAATGCAGCGCTCATGGCGTTGCTCATGGACTCGGACTGGGCCTTGGACATTTGGGACATTCCAGACGTCCACCCGTGCATGGTCGAGTGCCTCGATTCCCTCTACTACCCAGCTGCGTCGCTCCTTTAAGTGTTTTTCAACGTGATTGTTATTCTCGTCTACTTGTTTTTGAAAAGACGAAGTGACTGCAACGTCGAACGGCACCCAACAAGGCTATCACCATGTTGAAGCTTGTGATACGGCGACGCGAAGATCTGGCTTCACCACATCTTTCTCCGCATAGCGTGAACGAACACAGCCACAGCGATGTCCATCGCACACAAGGTGGCCGACCACCCGGTGCCATTGACTTGCGAGCAACAGGCCAGGTGCAAGTTGCCTTTTCAGTTTGAGCCAATCAGCGTGCATTCTGGACTTCACGAGCCAATCGGGATACAGTGTTGGACTACGCAAACATGGGCATGTTGAAACTTTGTCGAGTGGCATGTCCGCTCTTGGCCCAGGCAGCGTTGAAAGACCAACAAGCCATGTTGCAAAACCAGTTCAAGCAGGGAAGCCGGACCTCCCCCATGACCAGTCTCACTACACCCGTGACGGCTGAACAGACCCATCCTTCGAATGCATGGCACTTATCTATACCCCCACACAACTGCACTTCCCCCCTTGCAATCTTGCCACGGGAGCCTCCGGGCTCGAACCTGTCAAATTTCAGGCGGGGGGACGCCGCAGGAGTCCACGGCGCGTGCTGTCGATTTGAAAAAGTACGTGCACGGATGTTTCGCGTACTCGCCGTAATCCAGCAAACTTGCAGTACCTTTGCGGTGGAGCACGCATACATATCCAACGCTATGTCGGTGGGTGAGATGGAATCGTGTGTCGCTGGGACACTGCAGCAGCATCCAAAGTGCACGATGAATAGCCAAGGACCGAAAGATGACGTCGGGGGCGTTCGTGGCGGACGGGGGATGCACGCGCACCAGAATATGGATGATTTCGACGTTCCCGTCAAAACCACGCTGTTTTGTAGAGGGTGTAACTGCCACTCAACGCCGCGGGGCTCTAACGGCCGAAACCGTTCCATCCTCCGCCGCCGCGGGTCCCTGGGCTCTATGTTGATCAAGACGGGGAATCTGTTCAAGCAGGGGGGTGGTCGGCCCGGTCGATTCCAGCGCAAGAACTGGAAGCCCCGATGCTTTAAATTGACGACCGAAGCACTCGACTACTACGACTACAAATCTGGCCAACTCAAGGGCACGATCGACTTGACCGCATGCCTCGGTCCTCAAGCAATTGAGGTGATGCCTACCGACTGCGCTCGGAAATCTCTCTTTTCCACAACGCCGATGTGGCGCATGGCCATCCAGACTCGCACGAGGCGCTGGTTCTTGGCAGCGGACACCGAAGCGATCCTGGTCGAGTGGGCTGATGCGCTTGTGATGGTACTGGGAAAACTGCAGCTGCGACAGACTACACCTCCGTTGTCTCCAAGCGCTGCTGCATCTCGCGACATTGCCGTCACTCAACCTTGCGCATGACGCGCGTTCAACGCCACACACCTCGTTCCTTCTGCCCGCGCTGTTGTGCTCGATCGCATCTTGAAGCTAACTTTAGCATACATCTTCAAGTAAATACGACGCTCATAGCACGTCTCAACCTCGATACACATCTAGGTAAGTTTGCTTATGCCTCGGTCGATCAAGAACAGCATGGCTTCCACGCCTGCGTTTCACATTCCAACAATGACGTCGAACGGGTCGTTGGTGTGCTGCCAGCTTCAGTCCTATCGATCGTGTGTGTGCCATTCGCGAGTCCAGCGCCCCATTCAAATCTTCTATAACCGGCGGGCGGTCAACGTTGAGCCAACGTGGCTTTTCACCGCACGCAAAATCCCTTGATGCCGGCTACGCTGCAGGCACAACCATGTGTCAGCACGACGCGCTTGAACAAGGTCGTGCACGGGGGATGCACGGCAGCTCGTTGTGGCGCTTTCAACGTAGTGGATGGTCGGACCAGCGACGACGTGGGCTGCTGTCGGTGCGGTCGCAAGGCGCGTCCTTTCGACATCGGCCGATGCGCCGAGAACCTTCCTCGAACCAGACGGTGTTGCTCGTACAGGCGGACGACAATGGAACGGCTTCATTTGATTGGCTAAAATCACTGGGCGTGCAACGCGATTGGCTGAAGGAAATCATCCGGATAAACGAGATCATGGACGCGTTTGATTGGCCAGCCTTGGGACCTGGGTGAGGTGGGAGGTCCGGATAAGTGGGTGCTCCGATCTGATTGGTTGCTTCCGAAAGTTGCAAATTGCGTCGCGCATTGCACACGACGCGGAAGTTTTATCACAAAGGATGTCGCGGTCATGGGAGCCGCTCCCGCGGGGGTTCTTCTTGCCGCCCCGGATGAGCTATGATGAGGAAGAGTACCTGCGGAGCCTTGCGAGGACTTCCATGAAGGAGCTCATCCGCATGAACTCGTTCGCGGACATGTCGATCCGGTGGAAGCCGACAAAGTCGGGCAACGACACAAACGCCCGCGTCGCGCTGTTTCAAGGGGATGATTTGTCCCCGACGCAGTTGACGTACATTTGCGCCAAGATGGAAGTCCGCGGCACAGTCTCGGAGATTGCAGACCTTTTTTACCCCGACGACGAACCGTTGGCAAACCTGAGGAGGCTCTTCCCCGACCTGCTCGACGCCCAATCCATCTACACGTTGAATCTCCCATCCGCACGAGCGCCGCGCCACTACATCGGCATGCAATGGATGGTGTTCGAGTCGCCGTCGTCGCTTATCAAGCACCGAGACTTTTGCGTTCTCGAGGTATGCGTGTGCGCTCCGACACGTTGCCGCCTCTTGACATGGCGATGTGCTTCAATGTAGTGCCAGGACGAATTCACAGACGGGTCACAACGACTGGGGTGGGCGCGATCCCTGACGTCCATCAAGACGCCGTGGTGTCCCGACCTCGATCGTTCGTCGGGCATCATCCGGGGCAGCATGTTTCGAACGGGTTGCATCTTCACCGAGACGGACTCGCCTGGGCGATTGGACGCCACCTACTTCGTGCAGATGGATTACAAAGGATCCGTGCCAAAAGCGATGCAGGTCAGTGGGATGCGCCGGCACGTCAAGGGCATCTTGCCCTTGGTCGAGTCGTTCATCCTGCAAGGTCGACTTCGCGAAACCCCCTTCCTCACGGAACCGGAGCTCGTTCCCACGACCGCGCGGCGAAGCTGCCACGTGTGCCATTTGGTCTTTGGCGCTTTCCACCGACGTCGGCGCTGCCGCAAGTGTGGCGAAGTTGTGTGTGTGGGATGCAGCAGCCACGTTGCATTTGACGAACTCGACGGCCTCAAGCTGCGCATTTGCACAGCTTGTATCATGCACGTGATGCTTCCCGACGAATTCCCGAATCCGATGCGGTCCCAATCGCAACGTTTCCGGCCCGATGACGACTTGGACGACATCGATTTTCATTTTGGCGTGACGAATGGCCGCAGCAGTCGCGGCGGGCCCCTCAGCGCGACCGGCCAAACTCGACGAACCAGCCAGACGTGGGACCAAGACTCAACCCCAATCACGCCCATGTCTCGAGGAACCCCCATGTTCAAGTCGCCGAAAAACAAAGCCAAAGAGAAACTCCACCCGGACCACCATACATTTAGCGTCTACGCGCCGCGCGAGCGACTCGAGCAGCCCAAGACCCCTCGCCGATCGAGTGGCGAGGAGCGGCCTCGTCGCTCAAGCCACCGCCACCATGCACCTTCGTCAGGGTCGGATGAGTTCCAGCATCCTTTGACCACGCACCGATGGCCGGGCAAACCTCGACCCAACGACAACCGCGACGCCATAGCAAGCGACGCCGCCGGTGGCCACTCGATACCACCCATGGTGACCCAAGCCGACCCCCACCGGTATCGCAATCGAGCTATCCATTCTTCATGCCATGACAGCATCGTGTCCCCGCCACCAGTTCCGACAACTCCGCTTCCCGAGCCACACGACGATGGCCAAGATGACGAAGTCGACTTGTCCAAGTACTCACTCCACGGGATGATTGCCCACCAGCGCGTGCAACTCCAGCGCATGCACGAAGCACATAACGCTGCGGTCAAGCATCGCTCCATGGAGCACCACCTCGTCCCATCACCCAAAGTGTGCGAGTCCGCGCCGAGCGACGTCTTCAGCATATGCGATACAGACATCATGCAAAACTATATGATGAATCGACTGCAGTCGCCCGATGACCACATCGTAACGCGGCGTCGGGGGCCTCGCCAAGGAGCGTCCGAGTTGCACGTCCCCAGCGATCCCGACTGGGTCGAACACATCGAAGCGGCGCCGTCCACGAGCGATGGCAACAGTCCCCGGTTCATTGAGCTTCCACCTGACGACCCGACGCGACTCCGGGCCCCCGCAACGTTGTCACCGGCACCATCGACAAACGACAAACCTGCCGCCGGCCACCTCGACGTCGATCTTGCTGCCGTCATGCAGTCTGTGCAGTCGTGCCTTCAGAACGACGGCACGTTCGAGTTGAACGCCGCCGCGTCGCAGTCCCTCTTGGAGCTGTACAGCCAGCTCAAGCACCTCCACTTGGACACTGCTGCGCCGTCGCCACAAGCACCGTGACGGCACCTCCCCCGATCTACCGATCTAAGTGTTCCAGTGCAATTTTTTCCTAGCGTGACCCATGCGTGCTATCCCATCTACCACATCGACCCGCGTGACGCTCCCGAGTTGGTGTCGCCAATACAGATCGCCCCATGCATGTACACGATTTCCTAGCTTAACGTCGTGCACATCGAGTGGACGACGATTCCCACGGGGTTTACGCATCACCATGCCGTGTGGCCTGGTATGGAGCAAGCATGGCATCGTCGAAGTCGAGATCTTTGAGCTGTTGGAGGAGGGTATCGACCTTGACATCACTCGGCAGGACGGTCGTGCCCCGTCTGTCTCTGCGATTCAACGGCGGCGGGGACGGCGGGGTGTACAAATGCACAAGCGGGTGCGGCGCCGACGACGATGACGGCCGGAGCGTCGGCTTGGTCTTTGGTCGGAGAGGCACGGACTGGCGCCGACTCGACGACCCGCTGCGCACGCTCTCCAAGACAAACGTGTCGAGCACAGCATACTGATCGTCCGAGCAAACGTAGCCAGGATCTTCCTCCACCACCACCGTAGTCGACAAACTCGTGCCGGACTTGGAGTCCACCGACACCCGCCGCACCCGGGCGGCAATCCCAGCACTCGGCTCAACCGCACACAGGTTGCACACACTCGCTTTGCGATCCTCGACGTGCCACACGCTTTGGCACGTGGAGCACGCCATCTATACATCCGTGTGTGGGTTCGATGCCATACCGCATACTTGACGTACCTCGCCACACACCGAGCAACGGAACCGCGCTGCACCGCGGTCGGGCAATATTTCTTGGCACACTGCACACCGATTTCGCTTGGTCGCAGGCACCATCTCGAACGGCGACAGTGCCGGCACAGTGATCACGCGCCGGTGGCGAAAGTACGCGTCGAGGTGGCCAAGCGCCCGGGCGCGTCCCCGCAGCACCAGTCGGATCATCCACTGCGGCACTGCTCCCTTCAAGTCTGCCTGGAGCAAATACATTGCTTGCACGATGCCAGGCCGCTTGGTTTCGCGGAGCACCAACCCACCTCGGCCAATGTGCATCCGAACGAGCCCAAATGTCGCGTTCAAATCGGGGACGCATGCCACGTCGACCGATTCGATGCTGCGACCGTACCCGCGAACGCCGTTGCGATATGTGAACGCCTTGGAGCACTAGTCGCACAAGCTAAGTACGCGTTGGCCGTCGAGGGATCAAAAGCGCACACTACCTCGACGACGGTGCAATCTCGCGGCTTCATAATCCCTTGGACGGGGCTTTGCAGCGCTTCCCATTTGACCCCGATGTACTCTGCAGGGCTCGTGCACAGTGTATACAGCGACGCACAGTCGACGACGTCTGTGTAATACATCGAGCAAAAGTCGGCAAAGTGGTCATGCGTGTCGAAGCGCAGCATCGCGGGCGCTTCTTCGATCGTCGCTTGGATCGTCGTGACGCCAAGGATCGTCGCCGTGGCACGGTGGCTTCCAAAGTACAAATGCAGCCCATCAAGATCCGAGTCGAGACGCCACCGCACCGCCGCCGTGTCAAGCTGGCACACGTCGACGAGGTCGGCGAACCCCGACTGCGCACGCTGGACGAGCGCGTGGGCTTCAGTCGCGTCGAGCGGCGGGCACACGAAAAAACCTTTGGGCACAGGCAGGGACAGTCGTCGCACCACCATCGATCGACGGGTGTGCCTCGAGGAGGAAGAGTCGAGTGTCGCGAAGTTGAAATGCCCCGACACTGCCGTGGCGGCCACCCCCAACGAATACGCAATGTCTACATCGGCAAGAGTGGGCACGTCCTGGTCGGCCTTGGTACGATTTCCTGATCGTATGTAAGGTTTCAAAACAAGATGAAAGATGCCACGTGGATTGCATTCAATGTATTAAAAACTTATATTTGATATAGAAAAAATGAAACGTTGCATGGATTTTGGTTCGTTGGACATTGTACCGTAAGTGACTTGGCACTTGTAACATGGGTGACCACCAAATGGCGTCGGCGGGGTGTGTGGAAGAGTTGACTTGGTCAGCGTTGCTCGAGTCAAGTGACCCGGTTATGGGTTGTGTCGTCGGCACGACAAGACACCCGTTGGTCGACCCGACACACCGTAGCCACTCGCTTCCTCGTGTTCATTTGTCCTGACAATGTACACAAGCTCGCCGATGCCACCACGGGGCCGCACGCATGCTTTGTGTTCGTTTGAAGCCACCAGCAGAGGCCAACGGGATACGCCACGCGACGTAAAGAACCCACATGCGTCACGAATCTTGAGTCACTGGAAACTTTAGCGACATGTTGCAATGCTGAACCCTGTTCCCTTGTCACGGCAAGTCGGAGCGCCGAAGCAATGCCCAACGTTACTAGTATTACTACTAGTAGATGCAAATCGCCGAGGGGGAACTTCACTGAACCCACACACATCGTGTCGCCATTGCACAAAAACCCACGCTCCACATCGTCGTCAAGATGTCGTCTTTCTTCTGTAGAATACCGACGATGCTCCTGCCCCTTCGAGTAATGCCGAAATGAACGCAAATGGATCAACCGTCGCGCCGCTGGGCCACTCGCCATGTTAGAGAAATGCTGTAACTCGTTGAAGTGCGAGGTTCACATAAGTCTTAATTCCGATCTCGTTGGGAGCACAACTCGACTGTACTAGTATGCAGTACTAGTAGTCTACCCTGAATCGTTATGGCGGATGCTGGTTTGAAGATTAGTGACCAATTCGCATGATTGGCTTATTCACACCGATATTTCCCAAGATCGTCCACCATCCAAAAAGTTGTGCCAGCATGTTAATGGATAAAAAGTCGAATTCAACGGAATGGCGGGTTGTTGCCTCGAGTGTTCGAAAACGAAATTCGACCTCTCTGAAGGATAGATATATTGCGGGTCGACGACAGCGGATCTAGATGGACGATATAAACAAGTTTGTTGGATTCATGGTGGACTGCACTCGATGACGCTTTGTCTTGTCTCAAACTGCCTCACTCTACAAGGTAAGTGAAACGGGAAGGTCGACGACTCCAGGTGTCACGTCGAACGTGTGTAACTTGTATAGGACTTGCGTCGGAGCCGCACGATTGCCAATGCTACATCGCCACAAAAGGACCAGGTTGTTCATTCAATACGCTGCAAAGGAAAATACGGTGGCACAACGCAGTCCGAGACAATCTATGACGGTGTTGACCATGGCGACTTTCGAAGGACGTATTCGTAGATGATTTCGGAAACATGAACCCCATCCAACAGAACATCGTGGAAACAGTTGGGCAAGGGAAGGTACTTTTATAGGGAAATTGGTAGTGACCATCTCCACGTTTCTGGCACCACCAGCGCATGTGTGTCATGGCGAGCGCGACACATCGACAACGAAACGAAAGGGCGCTAGCATGGCGGCGACGTCGTCGGGACTCCATTTGCACACGCACGGCACCCCACCAAAAGCTCCACTTGCCGCTGCCCCCCGGCTTCTTCCGCT